AGAGCGATCTCGAGAAGGGTATGGCCGCACTGCTCACCAAGGACTACCATTCTCGTCAACTCGACAAACGACCCAACTGTGTTGCGACCATGCTTGACGCCATCGTCCATGCTAGACCGCGAGTTAAGTTCCCGCCTCACATCATGAAGTACCTCGCTCAGACCTACAACGCATGGTACACGGCTGCTGTCTACATGGAAGACTCCGCTATCTCACCTGTCGTGGATGTCGAGAAGCTACGCGAGAGCAACCTGGACGCCTTACTGGAAATTTACAGTGGCCTACAAGAGGATGACCTGTTCTACGGAACATGGCGGCGACGTTGCCAATTCATAGAGAGCAACGCTGCTCTATCATACGAGCAGTGCGGCATCTGGGACAAGGCACAGCAGATGTACGAGGCTGCCCAGATCAAGGCCCGCACCTCAGTTCTGCCGTTTAGTACCGGAGAGTACATGCTTTGGGAGGATCACTGGGTGATTTGCGCGCAGAAGCTTCAGCAATGGGAGATCTTGAGCGACTTTGCCAAGCACGAGAACTTCAACGATCTTTACCTGGAATCAACCTGGCGCGTATTCGATGCTTGGCAGAATGCTGAGACCCGCGAGCAGCTTGATGCAACCATCAAAGCTGTCAGCGACGCGCCCACACCACGACGAGTATTCTTCCAAACTTTCATGTCTCTTCTCAAGCTTCACAACAAGCAAGAATCGCAACCGGAGTTCCATCGACTGTGCGATGAATCCATTCAACTTTCGATCAGAAAATGGCACCAGTTGCCCAGACGCATTACCCAGGCCCATATCCCGCTACTTCAACACTTCCAGCAGCTTGTCGAACTTCATGATGCCAGTGTTATCTGCCAGAGTCTTGCCCAGACTACGCAAGTCAACCTTGATGTCAAATCTCAAGAGCTGAAGCTGCTCCTCAGCACTTGGCGCGACCGCTTACCGAACTTTTGGGACGACATCAACGCGTGGCAAGACTTGGTAACCTGGCGACAACACATCTTCCAGTTGATCAACGGCGTCTACCTCAACCTCCTCCCGCCGACTCAGAACAACGCTAGCGGCAACTCCTTTGCCTACAGAGGTTACCACGAGACGGCATGGATCATCAACCGCTTCGCGCACGTCGCACGCAAGCACAACTTGCCAGAAGTCTGCATCAACCAGCTTGGACGTATCTACACCCTCCCAAACATCGAGATTCAAGAAGCTTTCCTCAAGTTGCGCGAACAGGCCAAGTGTCACTACCAGATCAAGGCCGATCTCAACAGTGGGCTGGACGTGATCAACAACACCAACCTGAACTACTTTGGACCCAACCAGAAGGCAGAGTTCTACACGCTCAAGGGTATGTTCTTGGCCAAGCTGGGTCAGAAGAACGAAGCCGGCGAGGCATTCGGTACCGCGTTGTACTTCGATATCAAGCTCCCGAAGGCGTGGGCGGAGTGGGGCCGATACAACGACATGCTCTTCAAGGAGGAGCCGCAGAATCTGGAGAGGGCCGAGGCAGCACTCAGTTGCTATCTCGAAGCAGCCAGCCAGTTCAAGAACGCCAAGTCAAGGAAATTGTTGGGACGTGTGTTGTGGTTGCTCAGTTTGGACAATCCGGAGAGGAAGTTGGCGGAGAAGTTCGAGGAGTTCAAGGGTGATACACCGGCATGGTATTGGATAACTTACATTCCACAGTTATTGAACAGTTTGTCACGACAAGAGGCGCCGATCGCCAGATCCATTCTCGGCAAATTGGCGAAGACGTATCCTCAGGCATTGTACTGCCATCTTCGAACAACGCGAGAGGATATGGCGGTTCTCAAGAAGACGCACGAGCAGAAGGAGGCAAAAGAGAAGGCTGCAAAAGCCAAGCAACAACAGGGGCAAGGGTCGCCCGCAACGAAGCAGGCTTCGCCAGAAACCAGGCCCGGATCCAGCACCGGCAGCCGGCCAACAACCGCAGGTGCGGATATTAAGGCTGCTGCGACCGGCACGCCCAACGGCACTGTCAAGACAGAAACTGCTACGCAAGATGGTGCACCAGCCCCTAGCGACGCAGCCCCAGCGCCGAAGAAGCCGTGGGATCATGTCGAAGAGATCAGCGCTATCCTCAAAACGGCTTTCCCTCTCCTCGCTCTCTCCATGGAGACGATGCTTGACCAGATCCAGAAGAACTTCAAGTGCCCACCTGACGAGGATGCGTATCGACTCATCGTTGCTCTGCTCAACGATGGTCTGTCATATGTCGGTCGCCAGCCTAACCTATATGCGAGGGAGATCAAGCTACCGCAATCAACCGAAGCAAACATAACACGTTTCGCCGAGTCGGTCCTCCCACCTCACATTCGCAAGGCTTTCGAAAAGGACTTTGTTACCAACAAGCCAACGATGTACGAGTACATTCAGAAGCTACGCACATGGCGAAATCGCTTCGAGGAAAGGCTCGATCGCAGGAAGCTCACAGTTCCGCTCGAACAGTATACGCATCAGCTTAGTGAGTTCCGCTTCCTCAAGTTCGACGATGTGGAAGTGCCTGGGCAGTACCTGCAACATCGCGACAAGAACTCCGACTTTGTGCGCATTGAACGCTTCCTGCCAGATGTGGAACTGGTGCGTGGTGTCGGTATTTGCCATCGCCGTCTCAAGATCCGTGGTCACGATGGAAGCGTGCACCCCTTCGCTATTCAGTTCCCGGCTGCTAGAAGTTCCAGGCGCGAGGAGCGTATCCTACAACTCTTCCGCATCTTCAACGGCATACTGGCTAAGCGCAAGGAGAGCCGGCGAAGAAATTTGCAGTTCCATCTTCCGCTTATGGTACCGATTACCCCTAGTGTGCGTATGGTACAAGACGACCCTTCATATATCAATATGCAAGGTATTTACGAGGATTACTGCCGGAAGAATGGTATCAATAAGGATGAACCCGTGCTCTTCAGCATCGAGAAGCTGCGAGCACTCCAGCCAGTAAGTTTTTCAAACGCGCATGCAAGCCGCCAGTCTCTGACCCAACCCCAACAGAAGAACCTTGATCACGCCAACAGCATTCGCCTCGAGACATTCGCTGCTGTGCAAGAGAAATACGTGCCCCCGACGGTCATCCAAGACTACTTCCGTGCTACCTTCCCCACCTTCGCCGACTTCTGGCTCTTCCGCCGTACCTTCAGCTACCAACTCGCTGCGCTCACGTTCATGACCTATGTCATGCATATGAATACGCGCTTCCCCCAGAAGATCAGCGTCTCGCGCTCTAGCGGCCGCATTTGGGGTTCCGAGCTGATTCCGAGCATGGCAGTTGGCAAGCCCATCTTGCACAACTCGGAACCAGTACCTTTCCGCCTCACACCCAACCTACAAACTCTCATGGGGCCGTTGAATCTCGAAGGCATCTTCGCTCCTAGTGTCATGACAGTCGCGCGCTGTTTGATCGAACCCGAGGGCGAGCTAGAGATGCAACTCAGCATCTTTATGCGCGATGAGATGAATCACTGGTTCACCTCGCAGCACAAGGCCAGCCAGCTTACTCCCGAGGTGCTCAGGGAGAGTGTGCAGAGTAATAGCGATCTGGTAGTCAAGAGGGCCAGCGCGATTGGCAGCCTGCCCACGGGCGCCAATCTACCTGCGAACCAGACAGTAGTGGACTTGGTGGCTGTTGCGGTGCATCCGGCTAAGTTGAGTCAGTGCGATCCGCTCTGGATGGGTTATTTGTAAGGGTATGAGTTCATTGAGGAGATGGTGTTTGGTGTTTTGAAAAAGGGTTTATTGAATGCTTTACGGGAACTTTGATGGGCAAAAGAAGAGAGCATTGAGGACTTTGGGTATTTCATATTTATGTTGCGTTTGGTATGCAAGGCGTTGATATAAACGGTCAGGGAGGTATAGCTGTTAGGTTTATTCGGACAAACTTGCTCTTTTAGCTTCTTATCTGTATGTTTTGCGGCACATGCCTCGTGCGACATGGCGTTGTACTAGTAGATATTTTGTATGGAATACAGTTGCATGTACCTATATCTTGACGAATGGTTCGTTGTGCATTATGGCGATAGATCTTGGCCCTGGTTGCCCTGTCTTGCTTTCGCGGATGTGCTGTGCGGCGTAGTTACACCTATCAAAGATACGATAAATGAACTCGTCGTGAGTTGGGCGAGATGCGACTCGTCTCGTTCCGATCGATTCCGAGCGTTCCGATGTCAACGCGTCACCCGTTGAAGCGAACCTACATGGACAGCTCCATTCCCAGCCACCATCTTTCTCTAAGGATGAATCTACTCAGCAGTGTCAACACATATTTCGCTGCTTGCGATACGTTTTTTTTCGGGACATTTTGCTACGGAAGGAACTCATCAAATGGCCTCGGCGCACGTTGCTCCTTCATGAGTTGTGAACCCGTGTTTCCACGAATCCCTTCCTAGCTGACGACATCGGCTTCGTCCCGCACCTGTTCATCTCCACGAACACCCAACAGATAGTAATCCATCAATCAATCAGGCAAAGCGGCCTCAAGGCCTGCGCCACCGAAGTTCGAGGTGCACACGTTGAAACACGTTTATACTAAGCATTACGACAAGCATTACCGACATGACGGTCGTCGGCTCGCTTGCTTCAGGCGTGTTCGCGATAGATGAGCTGACGCGCGCTCTAGCATGCTTTTGGGAATTTCGGACAATTTATCTGCCTTCCACGGGGGATAAGCATACTGCCATGGCGCCAATACGGTCTGCTGGATCAGTAAACATAACGGCAGCGTGGTGCTTCTCGTCGCAGCCTTTGGATTTTCCGGGGGTGCAACATAGGGGCGCTATCATTTCTGCGGGCCCACCAGGGACATGAGATTGGCATCGATCTGTGCTAGGATTTGCAGATGGCCTTCGTGTCTAGCCTCACCATCCACGTATATCCCACTCTACTCTCAGGCTTCGATTTTCTCACTCTTCAGTCTTGTTTTCGTTGTCGCTCGTTTTCACTCCAGTCATTCGTTCCTGTTGAGCAGGTCTTTCATTCACGATGCATTTTTCGCAATTTCTGCTTGCGGCGGCTGCTATTGCACCGGCACTCGCACAGCTGTCGGGCAAGGTCGGGCCTTTAACCACTCACGCGGCCAAAACGGCTAAGAAGAGCTGCAACGTTATGGATTATGGCGCGAAAGCGGATAAGTCCACAGATCTTGGACCAGCCCTTCTCAAGGCATTCAGTGCTTGCAAGGCAGGTGGTACTGTCGTTGTTCCTTCCGGAGACTATGCCTTGAACACCTGGGTTACGTTTGAGGGTGGCAAGGCGTGGGCGCTGCAGCTTGACGGCATCATCTATCGCACGGGTACCGAAGCTGGGAATATGCTGTTCATCAGGAATGCCAACGACTTCGAGATGTTCAGCAGCACTGGCAAGGGTGCTATTCAAGGTACGCAAGGATGCTATTCGAGATCGGTCATGTTCCGTCACAGTGCTGATCACAATTGCAGGCAATGGTTACCAAGACCACAAGAACGGCAAGCGAAATGGCGCGCGTCTTCTTCGCATTGAGAAATCGAACAACTTTGGGATCCACGACATAGTTCTTGTCGACGCGCCCATGTTCCACTTCGTAATCAACAACTGCACGAACGGCGAAGCCTACAACATGGCGATCCGTGGAGGCGACTGGGGTGGTCTCGACGGTGTCGATGTCACCTGTACCAACTGCTGGGTACATGACATCATGGTGACTAACAAAGACGAGTGCGTTACCGTAAAGTCGCCTTCCAAGAATGTCCTAATTGAGAGCATCTACTGCAACTGGAGCGGTGGCTGCGCCATGGGCTCTCTCGGCGCTGACACAGCCATCTCCTCCGTTGTATACAAGAACATCTACACCTGGAAATCTAACCAGATGATGATGGTCAAGTCTAACGGTGGTAGCGGCTACGTCGAAGATGTTGTTTTCGAGAACTTCATCGGTCACGGCAACGCCTGGTCTCTAGATATCGACCAAAAGTGGGCTTCGATGAGCACTATTGCTGGCAATGGCGTGCAGTTGAGCAACATGACATTTAAAAATTGGAAGGGAACAGTCGAATACGGTCTGAACCGCGGGCCTGTCAAAGTCGTCTGCGCAGAAAAGGCGCCTTGCACAGACATCACCATTGAGGATCTGGCTATGTGGACTGAGAAAGGCAGCAACAACATCTATCAATGCCAGAATGGTTACGGTAGCGGATTTTGCTTGAAGAAGGGAAGTGGGAGCGCTTATCCAGCCACTACCAGCACTCAAACTGCCGCACCCACTGGTTACTCTGCACCTACTATGAAAGAGAACCTCCAGACTGCGTTTGGTACAGCCAGTCCCATTCCTATTCCTACGATGCCGGCAAGCTTTTACCCAAACACACCACCGATCACGAAACTTGCTGGCAATTAACTCCACATCGCCGAGCACTCCATTTTCGCTATTGTTGACTTCATAAATTTGTACATATTCACTTCTGTTCACAATCCTACATATTCAACCCAAATGCCGAGAGCCTCTATCACATACGTGAATCTACTCAAACGCCCATTTTGGCAGTGGTTTCCCGTCGCCGCCACTGTATGAGCGCCACTCCTGGTAGCCTTCCCAAACCACCACAGGTAAAATTTCTTGATCCGGTCGGTCACTTGGATCAGGCTCCAAGCATTCCCCAACTAGCGACCCGAGTTCCAACTGGAAGTAATTAGAGTATCCTACTGGATCGCACTCTGGATCGAGAACATCCATGTTGGGACGCTGTCGCATTTGTCCCAGGCAGAGCAAAATCAGACCGAGTGCATATATGTCTCCTCTTTCGCTGTAGGTAGACTCCGGAGGCTCGAAGGCTACGTTTTCCCAAGCGAGTATCTTTGCGGCTTGGTTGTTCAAACTAATATCCGTAGACTTTACACTGCAGCCAAAGTCGCAGAGTACTATAATCGGGTATCCATTCATCATGTCGTCAGCTAGAGGTCTAGGCCATGTCATCAAGATGTTGGCTGGCTTTAGATCGCGATGACGAATGGCGTTCCAACCACGCACGCGGCCCTCTACTGGTCGGCCCTGCATAGCGTAATCGCGTGTCTTTTTGTAATCCTGACCCGTCCAAAGATAGCAGAGAGCCTGTGAAATATCCCAGAAAACCTTCCAAAAGAAACCTTCGTCTGGGAGATGCATCTTGCGTTCTTTGTACCGCATAATTAGCGCATCCAAAGAACCGAGCTCGCAGTGCTGCATCCAGATTGAACCATACGTGTGATCAAGATCTGCTGTGTCGCTATCCATGATTGATACAATGTTTGGATGATTCCGGCATTGTTCCATGGTGGCAATCTCGCTGTGGATCGAATGGACACCATTTTGGTACGCAGTCACGCGCTTTTCGACGCATGTTTCGTTCAAAGGGCGATACTTCACAACGTAGACACCGACGTTCTGTTTGCCACCGTGGAAGCCTTGCGGAGCCTCTTCGAGTACGACATATTTGTCGCGCACGGACGTCTTGACCATGTCTTTGGAGGACATGGGTTGGTCTGTGAGACTTGCTTTACTTTTGGTGCCTGGGTTACTGGTGGGAAAGAATAGATCAGCAAATATGGAATGATATTTACTATGAACACCAATCATTGTGAGAGCTGGAATGACAGCTGTGAGTTGACGGGTCGTCTTGTTATCAACGTCTACATGTACAGCGATGTAGTGATAAATCTAGCCAGTGTGAGCTTGACACGCGTACGGTCGATATTGCCACGCTGGGTAGGCATTCATCAGTTCAGTCGATCTTGGTACGAAAATGGCGCTAGAGCCGCTTTGATTGCTTGAATACAGACAGTATCAATGTGATTCTATAACATGAGACTAAATACGTGACGTGCTCTACTTTTGCTAGCAATATATCCATGCCTTTTGCGTACAAATCGAATTCGCGAAAAGATCTTGGTCAGTGGGCCGCGCCCCCCAGCGCTCACACTAAGCCCCACAAGCTATATCGGTCGGCGTGTTTGATGGGCTCACGATGAAATCGTCGTACGCGACGAGGCTTCCACTGTGGGGTGTGAGCTGGGGTAGTCCGCTGGCGTCCTTGGTAACGGTAAAGCGGGTCGAGTAGCTGCGGGAGTTGCATCGTTAGTATACTCCATCAGACTAGTACAATGCTCACGGAGTTGTGACTTTGGAACGTACTAGGCCTGAGAGCAGTTTCCACCATCGTATCTCGTCTCGATAACACCAAGCACCTGGTATGTCTTCTCTGCGCTCGTTTCCGAGTCGACAGTAGTCACGTTGGGCAGATGATTCCAAAGCTTGTTGCCTGCTACGGGGAGAAGCTCCTCCTTCAGCGCGACAATCTCTTCAGCGCCAGTGGCAGTGTTCTCAAGAACAATGAGCTGCCCGTTGGGTGTGAAGAAATCGGTAAAAGTGCTTGTAGCGGACGGGTCCTCCGCGGAGGCGTAGAGCCTACAAGTTTGGGTTAGTGCTCTAGTCGTTCTTGCCGTTTACGGGAGAATCATGGGATATCGTACTCTTTGACGAAGGACTCAAAACCCACTTCGACCCCGGATCCTGTGGAGTACTGAGTCATTTCGACTGATGCTGCTACGCCCAAGAGGCAAACAGGGGTGATAAAAGAAGAGAGCTTCATTGCTGCTTTTGCTGCGTGCTTGTGGAATGTTTTGTAAGGTGATGGGAGAGTTGATCGTAGAATGATTCATAACCTGTAGCTTTTATACCTATTCATATTGCACATGAGTTGGCCTACTCCACAACGAAGTAAAATAGTACTCAACCATACCCTCTCCGAAGCAATACCGTGGCTAGCGATAGCAGCTTCACCGCTGCTACGCATGGATACAAACACCAGTCTGCTTAACGCATGCCGTCTGGTTGGTGAGTGAAAGTTCGCTGGCAAGACTGAGATAGCGATGCAGCCAGTCAGTCATGAGCAACGAAGAAGTCGGGTTTTTCTTCGAACAGTACGACCTTAATTGATTTTGCTGCTTTCAAAGGGGAAGTCACATTCGCTAGCCACTGTATTCGAAATGCTATGGCCTAAGCATTCTACGAGATCTGGTCGGGCCGGCGCGGCGGTATATCCACATCGTGAAGGAAATTCGGCCGGGGAAAATTTATAGGTTGCGTCACTTGCTTGAGACGTCTTACCTTCTTGCACAGGGAGACAATAGAGAGAAGAACCCGATAGCTCATCTTTTTCTTGGACAAGATTGTGCTTCGTAACAACCCTAGGGTGATGTTGAGGGGCGTCGCCACGGTTTGGAATTTGAGCCCATTGACGCCTGGGCAATGATCACCGTCCAGCTTGTGGGCCACGATGCCTTGGCTGGACGTTCGAGCCACGATTGAAGGCCGTGTCGTGAAGAAAATTCTCCACAAAGATAACACAGGTGGGTGGTAGTCGTCTTGAAGGTGGGCCCTGTTCGTGATCATGGGACCTTCTGGCTTTCGCGCGCGAGCCTGTCCAATCATTTCGCAACCATGAGGCATGCTCATACTTGTGCCGCTTCGACCATATATAGCCTGGAGTGTCGTGTTAGCAGCTCATGGGCCGCAAGCGTGAATTTCGATGCCATGGAGCTGGGGCATCATGGGTAGAGAGGGAATGTGCCTCGCGCCTTATTCAAGGTACAAACTGAAATACTGGGTTGCGATAAAGTCAACGAGCTTCCAAGGCAACGTGTACTTCTAGGTTGGGAGGCACCTAGGTAGGTATTCATCTTTTCCCATAGATTTTGTGCTCGCCTCTTTGGATAGGTGCATTACAGCTATGTTAACCAACCAGCGGGCAAGCTGTTTCGCAAGCTATGGAGAGACTGAGGTGAAGCATGGCAGCGTACCTTGGGAACTCGGCGCATTCTTTCGAAGATCAGTGGTGTCCAGCCGCCTCGACCGGGTAGGGCTGCCGGTAGATTTGCGATTGCGCAACAGAGCTAAAGACGTCGGGCGCCGAACGATTGCGCCATGGTATTGACCTTCCTGATGCTCGTTCTATCGTTCATACGGGTGTCGGCGTGTCTTCGTGATGCAGTGGGCCACGTATCGATTGCATTGCTGATCGGCAGGTGCAGAAGGATGGCACACTTGGGCACGGGCTAGTACGAGAGAATAGCAGACCGCTCTTGTGTTATGACATCTTCGCGCGCGACAACGTATTTCCCGTCGGTAACGGTAGTCAATGACGAAGTGAGTGAATGCGATGCGACGGGGGACCAATTTTCCCCATGGGATGTGGTGGAAAATGAGCCGGCATCTTAATTTGGGGTAGATCTAAAGGAATTGCCGATTGCGGGGTTGCTGCAGGAACGCGGAACCTAAAGCTGTACGTCATCTTCGGTACCTGGCGACGGCATGGAAGCTTGTCACCGCACTGTAGCACATGTATATATTCTGGCTATGCGACTATGATGTCGTTGCGTTTAGAGTTTCCAACTAGTACCTAGCAACGTTACCGCTGCTTTCACCATGCGACTCTTCACCCCAATCACTGCACTTGCTGCTGTTACTACCTTCACAATGGCACAAAGCGCACCAGAACCACCTCAGATGACCCTAATTTACCACATGGAAGCGCTCCTGGGAGAAAGATTCTCGCTCGGTTCTATTCCAACCGGGCAAGAACGCATAGTCATCCCTATCGTTGGAGGCACTTTCAAGGGCCCAAGAATAAGTGGTGAGTAGTCCTCTTGGCCTAAACATGTCATCGTGTTTCAAAGATCATGAGAGAAGGCTGGGATATCTCTTCGACAGCTCGTGCCTCGTGCTCTTATGTATCATGACGTCATGTCACTCACATCTTGTAAGGCAAAGTTCTCAATCTCGGCGCGGACTGGCGCCTTACGGACGCGCAAGGCGCTTTCCGACCAGACGCCCGATACAATATCCAGACCGATGACGGAACCTTCATATACGTTCAGACGATAGGACTCCCACCCGCTGCGGATGGTGCCCCCACGATGTTGCGAGGACAATTTGAAACCGACACAAACGGAACTGCTGCGTGGTTGAACGATGTGGCTGCTGTAGGCGTCCTCAGAAGGAACGGAACGTCGAGTGTGATAATCGACATGTGGCAGGTACGTGGAGGGGAAAGAGAACAAGACGAAACTAAGGCTAATAAGCTCAGGCATCTCCACCTGCATAGCGGTCAGGCTTTTTTGTTGAAAATAAAAATAGAATCTAGATCGAAATCATTGTGCAATACTTGATGCTGATTTCTCTTTTCACAATCCGGATGCGGGTGGCGGTTGTGGCTCACCCTGTGGCTGGTGGCCGAAAATTGACGCCGACCTCGCTCTTCCGCTAGTGCGCGTCTTCTTGCCTGTCACACCTGCATCAAACTTCACTCTATCTCGCAGCCCCCTCCGACTACTTCCGACCTCCAGGAATTCTATCATCATCTATCGTGCAATGATGACAGACATGCAACAATGGCAGATCTTACCAGCCGATCTGATAGAGCTTCAAATTGGCCAAGTTGAGCTTTTGTTGGCAATGTACCCTGACGAGATCATACTCGACGAGAACTCTCAGGGAATACTAGATATCCTGCGCGATACCGATGATGCTCGGTCCAGATCTGCAGCCAAATATACGCCGGTCATCCCAGTCATCCTTGACCTGCCAGTATCTACGCCCAACGAAGAGTCGTCGAACTCAAGGACATTGCGTCTGGATATCGGGGTACCTTTCGCATTTAGCGGTAGTGAGCCGCCTTTAGACCCACCGTCGGTAAAGGTTCGGGTGCAGCAACCGCAATGGATGAACAAGGCCGCCACGTCGCGGTTGACGTCGGACATTCCGGAAGATGAAGATCTGCTCAGTAAAATTGAGTACATCAGAGAAGCTGCAGTCGAATACCTGATGGAAATCGAGACGACAGAACTGGGGCTGGATCTTGCTACTGTGGACGCTGGACCGCTGGTAAGAGTTTGGTTCTATTTCCCATCGATCAGCACACGCTCCAAGCGCGACGATTTCATCAAGTTCGCTCCTTCTTACCAATTGACCGGCTTTCTTTACGCTGGCAAGCCAGGTCTTCTGTGCGTCGAAGGCGGATCACAAAGTATCGATGATTACATGAAGTACATCAAAACGGAAAGCTGGGGCGACATACCGGCCCATCACAAGAAAGTCAGCGAGCGACATCGAGAGCAATGTGAAAGGCGGGTCTTTCCGGACATGACTGAAATAACCGACACAGTCGGTGAGCGACGCGGTCAAAGAGTAAATAGAGGTGATATGAAGGCAATCGAGGAATGGCTTGTGGGGAGGGGACTAGGCGATGCTTTTACAAAGGTCTTAATGTAGTCCCTCTGTACTCGACCCCCACTACGGCCTCGCTACCTAACTTTACTCAAACATCCTCGACATGGAATATCAGAGTCGGAACTTCTCGCAACCCCTTCTCATCTTCATCTTCATCTTCATAGCACAAGCATACTTCCTGAATAGTCTTGTGGCCCAGTTTTGCCTTATGCTGAGCGAGCAAATGCAGTACGCCACTTCCATTGGGTGTGCCGCATAACGCCATCGCCTCTTCAGACTCTATTGGGAAAGCTATACCTGGCCATCTCGGAAGCCAGGAGTCATACGAGATTCCTGGCTTAGCTGTTTCCTGCCGTTGTTTACGAAGAGAGGCAAGGGTGATGCTACAGATGGCTCGTGTGTTCGCATTGAGAACCTGGTATCTTACTACAAGTCTTAGTTCTGGCATATACCGAGACCCAAAGTTAGTACATACATCCTTCCATTGCAAGAAAGCAACATCGGACCAATGTCGCAGCTCTGGGAGTTTGGGTACCAACGTCGCTGGATCTAGATTCCTACATGGATTCAGCATTGCTTCCGGCGTCGTGTTGCATTCTGCCAACAAGATACCGGCCTCGGGTTCTATTACGCTGTGAATATGCGCCATGGTGGCTGGATAGGTCTTACCGTCGATCGTAACGGTGTCGTCGTGATTAGTAAGGATACCAGCTGTGGTGGGAGAAGACTTGAGGGTAGGGCCTAGGGCTCGTACTAGGTTCGTAGCAGGAGTGGGATTCGGGCTAGCAAGAGTGAAAGTACACCAACCCCACATTTCCAGATCACCAACGTCCTGGAATTGGCTTTGAGGCGGGCCGTCGGTGATATCTGCGATTGTGAGAGCTAAAAGGCGTTGTCCTTTCTCGATGGCTTCCTGGTATGTCAATGCGTCTTTCCTGATTGTCCCGACTTCGGGCGTCTCATACTTATCACGCATGTCTGGAGTGTCGATATGCTAAAGCCTACAATCGAAGTTGAGCCGAGGAAGCGACCTCGCGTTTGTTAAGTAGGTACCTAGATTTCTGTACGCAACCTTGGAAGATAAATACATCACTATTCAACCTTCCAAACATCGTGAATGATTACTACCATTTCGCAAAGGTAAACACAAGACATTGCAAAAGCGCGCAATCTCATTTGCATTCGCCGCGCTTCTGATGTGTACAAAGCCATTGTGAGCTCTCTGAGGTCCCTCAACGCCACCACCTCAATCTGATGGTAACGCGTTGTAAAGCATTACCTTCCTCCTTTACAGCAAGACATCATTTGCATCTGACCAAGATGTTCAAGCTTCCCATGTCTGCAAGAGAGTGATCTTCATCCATGGATGCAGGTGCTCATGATAGAGGCGCTAGTCCGTATTCGGTAAGGCTTTCATCAGCGCGACGCGAACGCGTCCATGGGTCTCCCAACCACCTCACGCTCTGCCCTGACATCTGCGTCACGATCTCAACAGCCACCTATTCCTGTTCCTGTCGGACCTAAGCAGCTGCCTCAATTACTCATCAAGCTATATGTAGCGTAGTCTAGTAAGCAAAAGCCGATATCGATCACAATGTTGATGCGTACGATCTTCACTCAGCAATCCTCGCATTCGTGCGAGCGCAGCTGTCCACTGCGACATAAACACGCTTGCGCATCTTCAACCAAATCTTGCGAGCTCAGCCCGTTAATAGCTTATATTAGACAAGAGAAGAGAAGATAATTATGTCACTATTGTGGTATACCGCATGGCGCAGGCCATATCCTGCTTGTACTAGAGGCTTGAACCCGCCTTGCGCGCACCAGCAAAGGTGTTTTGTATACCGTCCCATAGCGGCTCGCCACCCTCGGTCATGTCCTTCCATGCTGGGCACGCGAGGCTCAACAGCGGCGACGCCAGGGTGTCCGTCACCAAGCTGATCGGGACTTCGAGGGTCGACAGCAGTGGAGAAAGCGAGTTGGGCAGGAATGTCTTGAGCAATTCGAACACGAAGCACAGGAGATTGTTGTTCTCGAGCAGGGAGGCTGCGTTAAGGACACCGCCAGTGACATTGTGGAGATCGAGGCCGGTGAAGGAGTTAACGGTGCCGGTGTTGCCGCCGATGCTATCAAGAGATGTCAGCCTATCACTCAACACTGAAGGTGGAAGATTTTGGATACGTACCTGCCAAGGACTGGATGCTTTGCGACCCACGAAATGATGTCCAAGTTCAGTGGAATGAGGCCGTACTCCACCGGCTTTCGGTACCAGTTCTCGGGGATTGTCTCGTGGCCCTTACGATACTCCAAGGTTCCGTTTGCACACTCGTAGACGGCAAAGAACTTGCGGAAGATCTCTTGGGTAAGAACACCATCGGGGTGCTCAGCTGTGTGGTTCGAGAGCAGACGACCGAGGAAGAAGTAGCCAGCGTTACGGCTGACCATGCCAGTGACGGGCCCATAATAGAAGTTGGGGTTGTGGGCGACGCTGTACTCCCAGCGGCGGGCAGCTTGGTCGGCCAGCAGATCCATGGAGAGAACACCGTTCTCATCGGCACGATCGTGGAAGTCGCGGAAAAGTGTCATGTTCATTGTCCAAGCATCACCAGTCACGTAAAGGTCGTCGCGCGTGAGCGATGAGTCCGACTCGATCCAGTTGTGCGAACCTTGAAGACCTCGAGGTTTACCTGGAGGGCGTAAGCATGAGAACACCTGGAATACGTCAGAGTGATAGTACTTACCGAGAAGACCAAGCAGGTTTCCTAGGATGTTGTTCGTGCCAGCAGTGGGGCCTCCGATGGAGAAACCAGGATCCAACGATAGTGGGTTTCCTGTCCAGACAGTACCCATGATACCGAGAACGAGAGCCAGCTCTGTGCCCATGCCCATCACTGGATATCACGCGTGTTAGAATTGGCCAGTCTACTTTGAGACGCATCAGACGAACCTTGGTTGATGGCCGCCACCACTTCCACGAAGCTGGTGACACCATCACGAGAGATGTATCCATGGTTAGCCAGAGCATTGAGTCCAGGACACGGTCCGCGCTGGTCGTCCTTCTTGGGAGCTTGGAAGGCGTGTTTGCCAGTGATGTCAATGGGTTTCTTTACATCAACGAGAAGTCTCTTGGCATGCTTGTACTCCTCCACCGATCGAATAGCCGCATTCAGCTTTTCGGGAGTGAGGCCTTCGAGGTGTCTGTGATGAAGAGATGAAGGAAAGGCATTGGCAAAAATGTTGCCCGAAAGGAGGGTGAGAAGGGAAAGCGAGAACTTCATAGCGAGCGGAATGGTTCGAAAAGATACCTGTGAGACAAACAGCCAAAGAGAGTCAAGGGAATAGTAATTAGATGGTGGTGTCTACGAGCATCATGTAAGCGTAAGCCACATGGAGATGAGCCGGCGGTGAGACGCGGACGAACTGCTGAATGCGGATGTGGCATAGCTGAGCGTTCGATTGCATCGGAGGATTTCTGGCAAAGTGACAAGCTAACCACTTTGTTTGCCCAGGCAGAGAAGCAACGACTATCATCATTAAACAATCCCAGGAGAATCGTGGGGAAGACCATGAACGACCGCGGCACGGTAAATGCCACCGAGTTTTGACTCCACTTATGCCAGGGACAGGACTGAAAGAGGACTAGACGAGAAGATCCAACACAGTCGATTTGGGATGTTGAAAAGGAGCAAGGCTGACGATACCCGAAACGTGGTCTGAAACAATTACACCCGATGCCAGGGCTCGAAAGAAAAGGAAAGAGCAGGCAGATCGCCAATAGTGGAGACGCAGTGTGAAGGTCCGATTAATTAAACGGCCCGTTCAACTGGGGCCAAGCTTATCTGTATCCAGAAAACCGAAGGTTGTGAGTTTACCCCTGCGGTCCGCTCCGGCTCCCTCAACGCTTCCAAGGTTGATGCTGTCGCCAACCGCGCTTTTGCATATAACATACATAACTTTTGATAACTCACTTTTCGTGATCGCTCTTCTTGGAGTTTGGTAGCATAGTACGACACATATGTAATCATTAAATGCCTTGGCGGAGATCCTTCGGATGAACGTACATACGTAATGTCGAAGGCCCACCTGACGCCTTCGAGAAGCACCGAAGCAAAGATGTCGGAAGAGATAAGTGGCGAAAATTTTGGCATTTTCAGTGGGACGCGCAGATGTTGAACCCCCCCTTGGTACGAGTGGTCTTCGAGAAGGGTTGTCCTTGGTAGAATCCCTGTCGTGGTTGCATTGTGGGCCCTGAGCGGCTTAACGCTCCTTTCCCCGCGTCCTAGCTTCTGAACCCAGCACGGCCTGTTGGCTTCACTCTGTGGACGATCGCACCCATTGCATCCACGCGCTACTGTCGTTCACGACCGAGTTCGGCGCTTAGTCTGAGTCCAGATCCAGCCTGGACTCTAGTCATGCCACTCACTGACGTGACTTCATCGGACTGGAAAATGTAATCATGTCGTACGTACACGCAATATGCCCGAAATGTTGAGAGCGTTGAACATGATGTCTCGAAATGCGGGAGCGACGAGAAGACCGAAGGTGTGTAGAAGATATAGTACATTATACAGTTCTCTGAAGATACGGTCTATGGGATATCCTTGGTTGTGACGCCTGTACTCCGTTTGTGTCGACGCCAAGTGGCTACAACACCAATATTGCCCATGAAGACTCATACATGTTCTCTTCCCATCATAGGAGGCTTGTTCCAGTCCTGGGGCTTACCATCATTGGCGTTCTCTGTGACCACCGAAGCATTCCTGTGCGTGACTTCCACCTCATGTGTTGCCACGATCCAACCCCTAGAGTCTCGTTCGGTGTCCCGTTTCGTCAACATGGCTCGATCGCTGTTGTCGTCCATGTCGTCCAATGGAATGAAGTTGTTCTCGTCCTTTGCTTTCGGTTTTATGGAGAGACGGACTGACTTCTCGGGGGCCGTAGAGCTGATGGTCGTGTTGTTGGTACTGTTGAACTTTGAACCTTTCGTCGAAAGGGCTTTGCTTGCTCCGATTGTCGACTGTATCTTCGGCCAGAACTTGGCGATCAATAGCCGGTGAGCAGGCATACATCCGCAGACGATCGAAACGTCGATTTCGATAAGACTCCATAGACCGGCGTCGACGTAATCCCAGGTGACATTCTGCGTATTAGAGAAGTGGATGAGGGATTCCAAGCGAATGACCGAGATGACGACGACGAAGATACCGACACCAAACATGGACATGACCATGACCTTCTTCTTGATACCCATGTTCAGCGCTGCTAGATGTTTCATCGGGAGCGCCATCACAACCACGTCGAGGAAGATGTTGATAGCGGCCGCGATCCAGCCTTGGAGATGGATGTTGTTGCAGCTGCCTTCGTGGAGTCCATCCCATTGATCCCAAGCCATGCTGATGGGCCGGCATTGCATGAGGGTGACGACGAAGAATACAACGGTGTAGACCCCACAGACGCCCATGACGCTGTAAGTAAGGATTCGAAAGCTCTTGGCCGGAAAGACGCGAAGGTAGAAGAAGAGAATCGAGATCTTGGAAACACCAAGGCCAGTCACGTAAAAGATTTCTCCCAGGAAGTAGTAGAACAGGACGTTGGTGATCTGGTCAGCTTTGAGAGTCCAAATGTCTCGTCCAAGACCGTTTTTAACCACTGTAACGTTGTAAGTGAAATGGCGGCCAAAGGTTTGTCGAAATCGTCTTACAGAAATGGGTAAAGACCGCGGGAGGTACAGCAATCAAGACAACAATAAACATCGTCAAGTCGTCCCATGATACCTGGCGGCCCTTCTTGCCTATACTAGCGGCCATTCTCAGGATGAAGGCTAATATAGCGACAACAGCTCCAGCTATGCCAATAGCCATGAAGGAGTCACCCTTGTAACGAATAGGTGCTCCACAACCAGTGCTGGTGATATTCTTGGTCTCTGTTACGCATCAGTATCCAAGAATGCGGCCTGCACGTTACGAGGGTATACTCACGCATAAGCTCATAGATCGTACATGTCTTCTGGGAGCAGGCGGCTACCGCAAGATTGAGGGCAGTGTTGGTGCATAAGCACTGCGAGGTGAGGTCTGTGGCGCATGTCGACTTGGGAAGCTCTTCCATAAAACATGCCAGCTATACCAATATGTCAGACAAGAGTTCAGTTACAGTCTTCATATAAGAACACATACAGCGCACTTTGGCATGTGTGCCGCCAGAGCCTCAAGCGGGTTCTGAGCATGAACGGCAGCCACGAAGGCCCCAAGAAAAGCTACCACAGTTCTTAACCGCATTGGGAAATATCATGTGCAGGTGTCGTAAAAGAAAGGCAAAATGATAGAGCTGAGGAAAGGGCGACAGCGGCTGGCTTCGGACAACGCTTCGTACGAATGTTTGAAGGTAGTAGGTTATGTACTACAGTAAATACCAAGCAAATAATCTGCACGGCGCTCGTGTGGAGTTGCGATAACACAAAATGTGCCCACTTGAGCGTTCTCACCCGGGCCAAGGGGAAATCATACCGAAATATGGATCGGTGGAGAGTTGGCAGGTCGGGTTACGAAAGACACCGAGAGGGGTGGAGAGCAAGGGATTGCTCTGCAAATGCCGTATTCAGTCGCTGGGGAACTGCCTTTGCACACCCGGTCACGGAGCCAGGGTTTGTACATACCGCGCACCTTCCCCCATTTTGACAAGCCCTTCAGAAGTCGTCTCTGGCACAGTCGGTGTCGTCGAGAATCCCTGGAGACGGCTCGCAGAACTACCAAGACATTCTGCCGTGCTTATGCGGACGGGGATGCTTTCCAGCACACGTCGGAAGCTGGCTGCGATGGACATTGTTGGTGATGGAAATCCTCTGGAGCTACAGGCGCTGACTCTTACTCGTCCATAGACCCTTGAGGCCCACCCTGACCGCCAAGTCGATTCTAGCACGTGCATAGTGGAGTCGTGCATGGATTACGATCGATACAGGTACGTTACCTTCGAGGCGTCCTCTTGTGGCCGCGCTGGAGCCCTCGATCGACTTGGATTGTGAAATTTGAGGTGGAGACTTTCGCGGCGTGGTTATCCGATGACGTTTGCGGCGTACGTTGGGCAGTCGTAACTACCGTGTACGGTAGCGACGAGGCGTGCCGCCGGCAGAAGAGGTTCAGAAGGATGCCAAGGTGCATGTATTGGATGCAGCAGCGACGACTATCATGAGATATCCAGATTGAGCGAGATTCAAGCTAGACGACGGCTACATTCTAACTTTGATCGTTGACTTGTAAAGTTTAGCTATCTCGCGGGAGTTTCCTTGCTACATGGAGGTAAGTTTACGCCAGCCAGGTTCGGCCCGACTTCCAGTGCGCCCAGGGTGGAAGTTCGGTCTAGCTTCAAACAACGCCTCGTCTCCCCGCTCAATCTCTTGACCTGCAGCTAGGAGAATTTCTGTCCTTCGCTGACTCGAGAGCCTCGCATTCGTCACATTTGTCAGTGCGAGCGAGGATGCCGTCCGACATGGGAAGCCTTTCTACCATGCGCCTGGATCCACTAGCGCACGGGTTGTACTACCATCCTCATGCGGTAAGAACAGGCTGACCTGTAGGGGGAGGATTAGCCGCAGGTCGCATTCGTGAAATGTCAAGGACCAAAGGGGTAGATGGTCGATGATCGTAATGTTCACCACGTGTACCGCGACTACCGGTGGCGCTTCGTGATGGTTGATCGAGGCTGTCCTGCATGCCAATATAAGCTTTCACAGGGAAGCCCTCGTCGCTTTCTCTCCACACTCGTTCTCGCAACGACGTTGTATATCCAGTCCTTTGCTTTTTGTCTCTTCTTTTTTGCAAGGTTTTTACTACCTCTAATTCCGTCACCATGATTGTCATTAAGGCTCTTGCCGTCCTCTCTTTACTTACCAACTTCACTTCTGCACGCATCATGTATGTTATCACGTGCCAATATCAATGAATGGGTGCTAATCAGACGATAGCGACGGCGCCGAGCACACTCCTTACCGCGGCGAGAATGTCAAGCGTGCTGTGAGCGCTACCAACACCACCACTCTTGAAGACTACGAGTATGTCGTTGTCGGATCTGGTGCCGGCGGTGCACCTCTCGCAGCCAGGCTAGCTCTTGCTGGCCACAAGGTCCTTCTCCTTGAGGCCGGTGATGACCAGACCAACACCACTCAGTACAACGTGCCCGTCTTGCATTCCGTTGCCGCCGAGTATGAGCCCATGCGATGGGACTACTTTGTCAAGCACTTCGACGACGAAGAAGAGCAGAGGAGGGACACCAAGCTCACCTATGAGTTGACCGACGGCACCCGGTACACTGGTCCCAGCCCTCCTGCCGGCGCCAAACCCCTCGGTGTTCTATACCCCCGTGTTGGTTCGCTCGGAGGCTGCACTGTTCACAATGCCCTCATCACTGTATACCCATACGAGAGTGACTGGGAGTACCTCCAGTCCATCACTGGCGATTCTTCTTGGGCACCGAGCAACATGCGCAAGTACTTCACCCGCTTGGAGAAGTCGCGCTACCTACCCAACAGCGTTGTTGGACACGGATTCTCCGGATGGCTCGAGACCTCACTGACCGACCTTACTTTGATCGTTCAGGACCTCAAGGTCATCTCCCTCGTCCTGGCTGCTGCTACTGGTATGGGCAAGAACCTTCTTTCTTCGCTCATCACCACCGTTACTGGCCTCGGTCAGGTATTGCTCCGCGACATCAACAACCCTGGCGCCAACCGCGATTCCGCCGAGGGCATGTGGCAGGTTCCTCTTGCCATGAAGATTCCTGAGTATAAGCGTGCTGGCCCCGTCGACTTCCTTCACCAAGTCATCAACGCGAAAAACCGGGATGGAAGCCGCAAGTACCATCTCGACATCCAGCTCAACACCCTCGTCACCAACGTCGACTTCAACCAGAACGGTACCACACCCAAGGCTACTGGTGTCAGCTTCTTGACTGGAAAGTCTCTCTACGGCGCTGACCCAAGGCGTCAGTCCGGCTCTGCTGCTGGTAAGGGAACAAAGGGATCCGTCACTGCTACTCGCGAGGTCATCCTGTCAGCTGGTGCATTCAACACCCCTCAGATCCTAAAGCTTTCCGGCGTTGGTCCCAAGGAGGAACTCGAGCAATTCGGCATCAATGTCGTCAAGGACCTCCCTGGTGTCGGCACCAACCTCCAGGATCGCTACGAAATCCCCGTCATCGGTCAAGCACCAAGCAAGATTTCTCTTCTCAACGGCTGCACGTTCCTTGAAGGTGACCACGACCCCTGCCTCGAGAAGTGGGAGACTGGCACGCTCGGAATCGGAAAGGGTGTCTACGCCACCAACGGTATCGCGCTTGCCATCACCAAGAAGGCTAGCAACTCCCCCAACGGTAACGCTGATCTTTTCGTCGCTGGGTGGCCCGCGTACTTCAACGGATACTACCCCGACTTCTTCGCCAACGCCACCCTTGGCCGCGACGCCTGGACCTGGCTCACTCTCAAGGCTGAGTCTCGCAACAACGCTGGTACTGTTACCCTCCGTAGCGCTGATCCCCAAGATGTGCCTGAGATCCGCAAGCGCAACTTCGCTGTCGGCGGTGACGAGGACCTGGACGCCCTTGTTGAGGGAATGAAGTACGGTCGCGAGGTCTTTGAGGATCTCATTCCTCTTGACGGCAAGTTCAAGGAGGTTTGGCCCGGAAAGCAGGTTCAGACCGACGAGCAGTGGAAGGAGTTTGCCAAGTACGAGTCCTGGGGCCACCACGCTTCTTGCACTTGCCCTATTGGTGCCGACGATGACGAGAAGGCTGTTCTTGACGGCAACTTCAAGGTTCGTGGCGTCGAGGGTCTCCGTGTCGTCGATGCTTCCGCTTTCCCCAAGATTCCCGGCACTTACCTGGCTCTTCCCCTCTACATGTTGTCTGAGAAGGCATCCGACGTCATCATCGCGGACGCCAAGGTCTCCAAGTAAAAATAGCGAGTAACGGGAGTGCATAGCGTGACTCCACCATCAAGTTTGGTTGTATATAGCGTTCCTAATGTATATTTGAAAATCCGTTAACACATCCCGGTCAATACGGCCATACCCGCAACGTGATCCACACCCGCAACCTCCTCTTCCAATAATTTATCAATCTTACTCTTGCTCTTAATCCTCCAGAATGCTTGCGCGCCATCTACAAACCTCTTGCTGATATCATCTACATCTTCCGCAGGGCATGCGGCGAAGCACAACCGGAAGCAGTTGAAGCTGTCCATTGCCTTGATCTCCTCGTTGGCTGCGAACATTGTACCGGGAGCTACGAGACATAGGTAGGGTTTCGAGGTCCAGAAGACCCACAGAGCCCTAGAAAGGCGGGCGGCAGGTACTTGCTTGGCGAGCGGGTGGGACGCGAAGTCGAAGCGCACCCACACGAACATGCCGCCAAGAGGTCGAACGAAGGAGTAGATCTGCGTCTTCTCGATCACAGCCCAGTCATCCTCTTCGTCAGCGACGTCGACGAGACTCCTTCGGCGGCCAGCTTTTACAGCTTCCTTTCCAGCGTCAAGTGTGTCGCACATCTTCTGCATGCGACGCTCATAGTTGCCTCGGAGGCCTTCTAGCCAGCGCACCCATCCATCCACTTTCCAGCCACTGCCATCGGCCGCGCCGCCTTTACCAGGGTCGTTCGAGGCTTGAGGACCCATGAGTAGTTCTGCCATCATGGACTGCACGAAGCCTGAGGGCTGCTGGGTCGAAGTCTCGGTAATGCGGAGGAGACGTTCTACGAGTGCAGGCTGCGCGGTGATCCAACCAAGACGGCACCCGGGGGCTACCGTCTTGGAGAAGGTGTCGAGACGAACAACACGACCCTGGTAGTCTACGCTGAGGTATGAAGGAATGAGACTGTCCAGGAATTCGAAGCCAGAAGATTTGGTAGGCTTGGGAGGAACGCTGCTGGGCGACGAGGATGGGTACTGCAGGTACCAGTATGGGTCATCCTCAACGATGATGATGTCGTACTTGACGCAGAGAGCGTAAATCTCGGTTCTGCGCTGTACCGACAAGGTGCCTGATGTCGGGTTCTGGCCAATGGTGACGGTGTACATGACATGTGGGCGGCGGCCCTTTGAGTAGTCCCAGTTCTCTAGAACATCTTGCAGACCTCCCTTTCCATGTGCCATCATTCCCTCGTCATCGATGGCTACCGGCGCAATGTTGAAGCCTCGTGGCCTGGCGGTCTGGATGGCGTTCATATAACAGTAAGTCTCGCACAGCAGCCCTGGCCTCTCATCGACAGGGTCATGTTCAGCCGACCACTCATTGCTGAGCGCTGTCAGCGTCTTGGAAAAGCCATCGGTAGATCCGCAGGTCAAGATGACCTCTGGGCCGTTCTTGTATGGGACGAAAGGATGTAGGTTCTCCCTTGTGAACTGTCGGATGAACTGGTATAGTGCGGGGTATCCCAGAGCCTGGCCGTATTGCAGCGCAGACTTCAGGTCGATCATGCGCAGGGGATCTGGCACATTGGAGTACTTGGGCACAACGAGGCGCGACGCAGGTGGCTCCTTCTCTTTACGCTCTGCGATGGATGTCTTCGCGAGTTGGGTGGTCGGGGGATCGTCGGCGGGCGGATCGACGGGCTTGTTTGGCGTTGGCTGCCATCGGTTCGGCTGTGCGACTTTGGCCTCGAGCGTGTCGTAGGGGAAATAGTGATCGTTGGGGAGACCTGGACGGAATCAGTAATCTGAGGCGAAACGGTTGGTCAGGCGCGCGCATACCTCCAGCTAATTGGGCGATCCCGGGAATCTGGAAGTACTTGTAAAACTGTTTGACAGAAGAAGCTTCGCGCGCTCTCGTGCTGCGTGACAGGAAATGCGTAAGATCCACTGGATCGGGGAAAGAGCTCGGGTCAGAGTTGTACGGCGCCATCGTGGCACTGCAGCGGTGTGCGGATAAAGTTTACGCGGACGCGTCAAATGCAACAATGTCAACAAGATCGTCCAATACAAACAATCGCATACGAAGAGGTAAAAGACGATGGGGATATTCCTGGGTATGGAGTCGCTCCGTCGCCCGAGGCGAATGGTCCGAGGGACCGATAAGGCGCTGATTAGAAATGCCAGAACGGTGACCTCATCACCAAACGGGAAGCCGTATGAGCTGGCTAGGCCACGTTGAGCCACGTTGAGCCACACGTGGGAGCTGCAGCTGGGAATAGCCATCCCGAACAACCTGAGATGAGAGCAAGCATGATAATTCCCATTCTATCGGCGCGTGAGCCTTCGCATACTGCCATTGCCGCCGACACCCCAAGCTTTGGAAGCTTTATACTCGGAGGCCGATCTTACCTAGCGTCTCAGTGCCGTGAAGCCGGAACGTGGGCACTCCACAGGCCCGCATCATGCAGGTCCCGAAGCTCCCCAGAGCTCTTTCCTTGCCATTGCCATGCCTTCGCCTTCGTTCGTATATTCTCAAGTCTTTCCCCCCTTCACCTTGTCCTGTACATGACTCTCTTTTGAGTCTTTTTCTAACCATCACCCATCGTCGCACATCTCTACGCGCATTCCTATCGATAAGCATCCGTTAAGCCTCGGCGCATCGTCATCCTATTCACTACCAAAGTGTCGTCCCCTACGAGATCCCGCCACGAGCTGGCATCCATCTACGATATGGAGCCGCGGGAAAGCCTCGACGACGAGGGCGCGCCTCCGCAAGCCTACCGTGACGACGAAAACGCGACGACACTTCCTGCCGAGTCAGCCGACGCCATCGCGACTCCCGAGACATCCGGTCAAGAGCACGACACCCCACAAGAGCCCTATTACGCCAACAAGTACATCCCGCCGCGGTTGCAACGTGTATGGAACAATGTTGTCGTATGGGTCAAGGGTCCACAACCGCCCCGACCCTGGAAGATACACCCTTTCTTCCCCAAGATACAGACTGCGCCAATCCAGTTGTTGAACAACTATTTTCCTGAGAGAAGACAAAAGATCGGCCTGTTGGTCTTTTTCTACTTCTGCTGGATCCTGACCTTTGGCTTGGTCCTGCATCGTAGCGCGTTTGCAGCGGACATTCCTGGATATGGCAGCCCCGTGCGAATACGGTGTACGGATCGCTTCTGGGACGATGGCAATGGCTGCGGGCTCAACGGCGATCTATGTCGACCCTTTGAGAACAGCACCATGCCTTTCCGCTGCCCCGCAAACTGTAAACGCGTGCAATTGCTTAATCCACATGCTGTTGGTGACAAGAATGTCAACTATCGTCCATTGGTTATTGGCGGACCCACCGACGAGGAAAACACGCTGGAGAACACATATTACCGCGCCGACTCTTTCATCTGCGGGGCTGCTATCCATGCTGGCTTCATAAATGACGCGTCGGGTGGCTGTGGAGTTGTTGCGCAGGTTGGCGAGAAGACTGACTACCCCAGCGTAAACAGGAGACACATCAAGAGCATTGGCTTTGATTCGTATTTCCCGCGCTCCTTCTCCTTTTTGCCCGGTACGGCAGCCAAATGTCGCGACTTGCGGTGGCCATTACTAGGCGTATCGCTGACCTTTACCATCCTGTTGTCTTTATTTACTACCTCACCATCCGTCTTCTTTACCTCCATCTTTGTCGGTGTCTTCTTCCACGTTGCACTGGCATCTGACCCTCCCAACTTGACTGATTATTACTCCATAATCAGTATTGCTCTGTCACGCTTCCTTCCCGCGTCATTCTGCATGTATGCTGTCTACCGGTTTGCAGTGCGTCGCCAACTGCAAGGTCTTCACGCACAAGTAGAGAAAACCATCCTCTGGCTCGGAGGATGTTGGATCGGCGCTCTGAACAACTACACCTTCGACAAGATTCCCATAGAGCGTCTTACACCCCACGATATCAAGAACCAGCCAGGCGCTATTCCTGCGCTTATCATTATCGTCCTCACCCTCTTCGTCATCGCTCTGGGACAGGCATGGTCATTCCGCGTCGAAGGTCGTCTACCGCGTTACCTTGCCCTCTACGGCATTCTGGTGGCTGGCATCCTGGCACTTGTTGCCATACCAAGGATGAACGTCCGCATCCACCACTACATCCTCGGCCTACTCCTTGTACCTGGCACATCCATGCAAACACGCCCCTCGCTTCTCTTCCAAGGCATTTTGATCGGCCTCTTCATCAACGGGACCGCACGCTGGGGCTTTGCCAGTATCCTCGAGACGCCTGGCGCACTTCGTGGTGACGCGCCCATCGGGACCGTACTCCCACTCATCACTGCGCCTATCATCCACAACAACTTCAATCTCCACCATCTGAGGCCCAACATCACCTTCGATTGGCAATACCCATTCCCTGAGCCTTATGATGGAATGAGCGTTCTGGTCAATGATGTAGAAAGGTACCATGAATACGCTGACCGTATGGAGGAAAGCTGGACGTGGACTAGACACATGGAAGGCGTGAACGAATACTTTCGATTCGCTTATATAAGAGGCGGTGGAAGGGGGGATTACACGAAAGCAGGAGTTTGGAGAGCGGATGGTGGCTGGACAGACATGGCCTCCGGGCCATCGTAATCCCTTTGCAAGAGAATGTACTAGTCTTGATCAGCACCGCATCGCATCGCATGATCTCTCTTTCTAGGCGCTTCACTTGTGGTAGTAAGCGCGTGAAAAGAGAGATCATGCGATGCGGCACGGTACTAAAGACAGCAGTCTATCGTAAGGCTAACAGATCGCTCATCATTGCTTCGGCTCCACATCTATTTCGATGAGCACATCAATAACACGTTCATTCACTCTCTCAAACTTCCACTCGACTCATCCAACTTGTACGCACGTTCTGTAGGCTGCACATCTGGCAAGGAGGGTATCGTTCCTCTAATGCAACATGACCGAGCGGACGAGAACGTCCATACGATGTTTTGTCCGATCCGACCGGTAGTCAGATCGCACATTGATTTCGCAAGTGAGACTACGCTTTGGGGAGATGCGTGTTGGACGCTTTAGGGAAATGCGTGTTAGATGTTCCACTCTTTGTAATGTTAGAATGCATTGCTGAGATTGCACGACAATGCAACACACACTTTCTAGATCCTTCTGTGATACCACGTCGCCTTGAGTATTGGGTCCGGTTAGTTTGTCTTGGTGTTCACTATTCGTCCGCCGTTACGGACCACTCGACCCATGCAGAATGATACGTATCACTAGTTGGCTAAGCTTGCGACCCGCCCAAGGCCGCAGGTATGTCTGTGTCGGAAGTGAGTGCAACATCTCACATCGCGCCATCGCCTGTACCCAAATACATGAATGAACTTTACATTCGTTCGGTGTTTAGTTGAATTGCACAATGGACACGTGACTGATGTAACTGTCTGTGCCGGGGCCGTTATTTCCGTACGCACATGCGTAAGAGTGGTTGAGCGGGGCCATTGTGCAATTCCTGCCGAGGAGGGGTCGGGGATAAGTGGAGCACGTCTTGCCAAGAATACGCATTGTGTTGGTGGCATCATCGGACGACTGGTATATATGAACATTTGTAATGTGGATGCTGACTCGCTCGGCATTCTAGGAGAAAGACGCGAGCTGCTGCCTGCTGTATTGGGTATATAAGTCAATGAAAGAGATGCGTTGGGAAGGAACTATCAACAGCTCAACCGCGGCTTCCTCCCCTGCATCATCGGTTATATCATCAACATCATCGCTCGTGCTTTCCCCGCTATCAATTCTCCTACGCATTGAAGCTTTTGTCTGACTCTAAACATCACAAACCAATCCCCACGAATCAAAATCGAATTCCATCACCCATCACCATGGTCAAATCAGTCTTCGGAGGAGCTGCGCTCTCAGACACTGCGTACTTCAACACGCAAGAAGACCGTGCCAAACTCATCGATGTTTTGCTTGCCAACGGCGTCAAGAACATTGATTCCGCACGTCTCTATGCTGGATCCGAAGTTGCCATCGGCCAACTCGAGAAGCGCAAGGACTTCATTATCGACACCAAGCTCCCTGGCGGTTTTGGTCCGCCCGGTGAACTCAAAAAGGACACTGTGATCAAGTACTGCCAGGAATCTATTGAGCGTGCCAAGATCGACCAGTTCGACATCTTCTATATCCATGCTCCAGACCCAACCGTTCCTTTTGAGGAGACCCTGGAGGGCATGAACGAGGTGTACAAGAAGGGCATCTTCCGCCGCTTTGGCCTCAGCAACTTCTCGGCCGAGCAAGTTCAGCAAGTCTACGACATCGCGAAGGCCAAGGGCTACCCACTCCCGCAGGTCTACCAGGGTAACTACAACCCTGTTGCCCGACACTTGGAAACTCAGCTCTTCCCCACACTCCGCAAGCTCGGTATGCACTTCTACGCATACTCACCCCTTGCTGGTGGCTTCCTGGTTAAGACCGCAGCAGACCTCGATGCAGGCGCCGGACGCTTCAACGAGCAAGCCATGGGCAACATGTACGGAAAGCTGTACGATAACGAGACCATGCGCAAGGCGCTCATCAAGTGGAACGAGATCGCCGAGAAGGAGGGTGTCACCAAGGCGGAACTCGCATACCGCTGGATGGCCTACCACAGCGCGCTTGAGGGAGACGAAGATGGTGTCATCTTCGGTGCCAGCAAGATTGCTCAGGCTGAGCAGACTGCGCAGAGCTTGAAGAAGGGCAAGCTTAGCGATGAGGCGGTCAAGGGCATTGAGCAGATTTGGGAGAGCGTCAAGGAGGTCGCTCCTGTTGATAACTACCACAGTTATGCTAAGAAGTAGTAGATGACGCCATGATATATTAGAAGTTGTCGTAATGTCATAATGAAACGTCGACATAGTCTACTCTAACCTTACATCGTTCTTGCCTATGATAATTTACCCTCGATACCATATGATGCCCCATGCGCACGACCCATTTCGTACTTCCGAAGACCCTTCCAGCCTGTCCCTCTCTTAGTGCTTTATATACCTTGAGCATCACGCGGGTACTGCGCCTCTCTTCATTTGCGAGTCTTTCCCGAGCATTATGCTCGAATCCACCACTAAATCAACGAATCTTTCGAGAACCATTTTCCGCCTATTATCAAGCAAACCCACGAAGATCGCACCTTCGGTCTCGATTCAAGCACCTGTCTGCTAAAATCATTCAAGATATCTACCTGCAAGTTGAACATTCTGGTTGTTGGGACGCAGACATCCACTTGTCGGAAAGGTAGTTCGTGTAGCGGAACATCGTGGTTTCGAAGGAAATGTCCTCTCTCCACGCTCACACAGTCCCAAGAGAGTTCTTTCTTGATGTGAATGCTCTCGCTGTATTTTTCATACCAGTTCTTCTCGTAGTCACGGTAGAAACCTTCAGCGGCCTTGTGAATTTCCGGTGGTGCTTCTTCTCGGATTCGGCGACATGTTTGTATGAGGTCGAGGTGCTGGGTTTTGCCGAAGTGCTTTCGATCGGTCGAGGAGTATGGCGAAAGATATGAGTATACTAGGAACCGCAGTTCTGCGGGCAGCTGAAGAAAGCAACTGGGCGCATCAAGTGCGACGGATGGAGCTGGCGTCATGAGTTTGTTGGTTTGAGATGTGGGTGAGAGGCCATCCGGGGTAGCAACTGCCACGGCTTGCTCTGTCATGTTGGTGAGTGATCTTCAACCTGAGTAGATGGTTGAGTGATTTGTATGTAATGAATTCTGGTTTTCTATAGAGTTCCAGCCTTTTTGTACGTTAAGAAACGTAAGGAAGAAGGAAGTGCAGGGAGCGGATGCCTAGCAGGCCCTAACGCTCGAGCAACTATAGCGGACTTCATTCATCTTGTGACGTCAAGTTAGTTAGATTACTACGTCTGCCTAACGAAAAAGCTCTGTTATTCCATTGTGTACCTTTCAGATTGATTCAATGCGTACTGCCTATACCCATCCCGCGCCACCACCTCGACTCGACTTCTGCACTTCGACTACGATCCGCATACAGATACCGGATACTCCCTCGAGATGGCTTCTACGCCTTCCAAGGGTCATAATAGCGACAACACAGGGTTGCAGAGCGACTACACTAGATTTGCCGCTTCCCATTCGTCACTTCCCGCCGTACGCCGAGATGAACGCTCCTTTCTCGACCTCCCCGTTGAGCTCCGCTGCATGGTGTACCAATACTTCTTACCAGAAGGCCAACTGGCTGTCTACCCCAAACCATCAATATACAACGCCCTGATACACATTTGCAAGCAAATTCGAGAAGAAGCGCAAAAGGTGATCCAAAAGGCTGCCGATGGGTACTTTCGCGCCCATGATGCACGATGGTTTCGGAAACCGAGCTTCCATTTCACGATACAACCCGCCATCGACCCTACTCACATTACTGTTGTCATCCCAGAGGTCTTCCCCGAATTCCATGATCCGGATACATTGTTCCTCAGGATTCCGCTGCTACGCTTGCCGCTCCAGCAAATCACCCTGGACATCTCCACAGCGATCGCAAACACGACATTTCCCTTTAACAAGGATGCTTTACGTCACCTGCAGTATTGGATCAGACATCACATACCCCAGGCGCGCCGGACTACCATTCACTGGGGGCACTGCCATTCCCAGGACACAATGACGGCTATGAGTGACTTCTGCAGAGGCTTGGAATTCCGTTCATTTTTCCACCTCCAGAGTGGTGAATATAAGTTATTGACTGAGTATGCAAACGTCACACATCAAGGCAACGAGCACGGCGTGTCGGAGGCTGTAGCAGTGACTTTCCAAAGGACACCTTTGTCTAGAGAGGAGTTTCTGGAAAAGTTGCATGGTAGAGCAAAGCGAGCTGTTCGGCGGATCGATGGGAGCAGGGCAGGATGAGCGAACGATACAGTCGTTCTATGTCTCGCCTAGAATATGGGAAAGATCATGTATCTTCCCCGGCTTATCGTTTTTCACCTACGTGCTGTCATAAAGTAGACTTGGAAAGCTGGGATACGTATGTTGAAGGAAAGGTCTATAAGACGCGAGTCATGAAAAAATGAGAAGCCAAAACCATCAACGAGTGCATCGTCTTGCACAGATCGTGAAGGCCCGCAAATGAGACTCCATATCCCCATAACTAACTCCCCGTTTTCTCTTCAACCCAAGCGCTGAAAGCAGCAGTGGCCACTCACACCATCCTCTCAGCCGAATGGCTCACTTCTTTATAACCGTAAGAGCCGGCTCCGGCTTACTCCTCTTCTTCTTCTTGACCTCGACCGCGGGCGCAGTCTTCACCCTCTTCCTAGGCTGCACCTCATTCGGCTTGGCCGCCGTACCCCGCTTAGTTCCCTTGCCCTTACCCTTCGCCGCAGTTTCAGCTGCCGCAGTCTTCGCCTGAGGCCCCCGCTTAGTTCCCTTATCAGCCCTAACCTTCTTGGCCTTAGGTTCTGGCTTCAGCAGTCCATGTTGCTTGATGTAATAGATCACATCAAGCGCCACGTCACAGAACTCTTGCGTACCCCGGATGAGCTGTAGCGGCTTCTTCTTGCTCTCCAATCCTGCTCGGTATCGGTCTACGACGGCAAAGAAGATCTCGTTAGTGTCGGCGTCGACGGCGTCGCGCATGCGCTCGTAGTCCTCTTCGCCACGGTTGTGATCTTGGTGGAAGTGGCCGCGCCCCATGCCGAACTCGTCGCCGATTTCGAACTGAACGTACGCTTCTATGACCATGAGAGTGATAGTGTGGAAGTTCAGAAGAGCGACGGCGGGCTCTGGGTCTGGTGATGACATGGCTTGCTGACCGGGGATGAAGACATCGATCAGTAGGCGGGCTTCTTCGTCTGCGTGGTCTGGGGAGAGGAGAACTTCTTCGCGGACCATACCAGGGAGTGAGACCTTTGCGCTAGGAATCTCTTCGCCTTTCTCGAGAGGCTGGCGTTGCATTTCATATCGGGGAAGCGTCCAATCAATTTCTTGGATGTCGTCGGAGGAAGGTGGCGCGTTCTCCGTGGGTGTGGGAGAGGGGGAAGCAGGCTGAGGAAGAGGGCGTGGCATGCGCACTACCTTCCGGTCGACAATAGGTCCACTGCTTTTGGGTTTGGAATTACTCGCGACGAACTCGACGCTTGAGTCGTCATTCAGGCTAGTGACTGATGGGTGACGCTCCACCCGCGTCCGAAGCGGCTCATCGTCATCGGAAGCATTGCCTTCATCGCCACAGTCGTGTTCACCGAAGACTTGCTTTCGTACCTTTTGGGTGACCTGGGGAGTACGTTGTTCTGGTATCCAGTTATCCGAGCTGTTCTGTCCGTAATCCATCTGCTGATAGCCCCTCGATGAAGCACGTTGATAGCTCATTGGGCCAGTGAGGAACGCAGGTACAGCAGCTGGTTGGCCATGATAATGGGCAGATTCGTAAGGTACCTGCCGAGTCGATCGCTGAGGCCCCGCTTGCATCTTCATGAACTGATCCAACTGTCTTTGTTTCTCCTCAACCTGCACCTTAAGCTCTTGTTGGCGCTTCAAGCTAGAGTCGAGATCGCGTTGGCGGTTTTGACTAGCGGGCTGTTGCGACCCATGACGAGGTGAATGTGTTCCGTACTGCGCAAGACCTTTCAAGATGGCAGCCGGGTTAAGTGCACGTGCGCTTCCAGAAGAGGGTGAACTAGACTTGGTGAAGCGAATTGGATCCGTAAATACGTGTTGACGTTGACTCCACGGTACCCCAGCTTCAGCTTCGCCACTAAGAAAGGCCAGAGATTCTTGATCAATTGGATCTTCTGGCCGCATCCGGGTCGTGCCATATGTGAAATCGGATGACATGGCCTGATGGTCGATCGGTTGATAATGTTGGTGTTGTCGGGCTCCGCTGGCTGCGTCCGCCTCGGCTTGGTTCGCGGCGTTGGAGGCCCACTCGTCTACATCGAAGGGGTAAGACATGTTGGTGTCGGCGACAAACGACAAGTCGTTATCAGGTGCGATCGATGGTCCGTTTGCGCTCTGCTGATAGCCGCCGTTGACGTCATCGACACCTTGCACCTCCACGGCCGCAGCCCCCTTCAAGTTCTCGGGTTCAGATGTAGCAGCCTGGATACCGAGAGCATCCGAGGACTTGCCAGAAGTGTCATGTTCGATCGAGACCTGTATTGACTCGTCGCCAAGTTGACCATCAATGCTCATAGCATCCCTAATCAGGTCCTGACTTCGATCGTCGACATTTTCATGTGCACCGTGCTCAGGCTCGTCCTTGACCATGATGGACTGACCCGAACTTCCCGTGGGCTCATTCAGGGGCTTCAGGGCTGAGTCTTGATCATCGCTCTGTTTCTCGATCTTGACTTGTGGCGAGGTCGAGTTTGGACTTCCAGGTGCGGTAGCTTCATGGTCTTCGACTTCCTGCTTGACAATGGCGATTTCGATGGATGGCTCAGCTGATTCATCCGGAGTTGCGCGCAAGTCCGGGGAAGTAGAAGAGGCATTACTGATGTTTCGGTGACCTTGCGGAGAAGTCACAGGAATCTTGGTACTGTACTTCAGCTTGACCATGAATTGCGGTTTTGCGCTTGGATTCGGCTCTTCTTCAGAAGTCAGAATCTCGTTGCCGTTGACTGTGATAGGAACAGAGTCACCTTTCGGGAGTTGGTCTGCACCATTGCCAGGTCCTTGACGTGATTTGGTCTCAGGACTCTTCCTCTGATCCTGTTCTTGAACTGGTGTCGGAATCTTCTGATGCGGACTGCCCGCGGTAGGATGAGGGTCTGGCGATGTGGCGTGATTGCTCGCGGCGTCCATAGTATCGGCAATCTTGCAACCTGCGAGGTCAGTATTGTGGAAGTTTGATTGGCGTCTTGCGCTGAAAGCTGTACTTGTCGAGCAACCTCAGGGTCGCGATAGTCACTTACCAGTCGTTTTTCGGTGTTTGTGATATGTTAAAAAGTTGGTGGGTGTAGTAGGTAGGACGAAAGACTGTGAGTCCTTGTGGGCAGTAGCGGCTTTATATGGAGCCCGCAAAATAGTTGGCAGATAATTAATAACGTTCAACTTTACCTGACAGCGTACATAAGCGTTCTCTCACCTCTGAGCCAATAGCTGCGCGTTTGCTCTATAGAGAAAGGAGCCAGAGGTACCAATGAGACGTGGGATCTGGAGTACGAGACGGATACTGATGACCGCGACTGGAGCCTGACCAGTCACAAGAGCAGACTGCCGATGTCGGTGAGCAATATTTACTTGTCGGCAAGATGATGCGCTCCTGATTCGCTGTAGCGAGGCGTATTCACGGGTATCTGAGCAGGATTGCTGTAGTCATCTGAGCTAGAATGACAACGTAGTAGGGCGTTGTCATAGCGACGTGTAGGAGTGAAGAGAATCACATAATGGCGAAGCACGGAAAGTGGATGTTGAAGACTACACAAAGGTCAGCATTCCTCGAACTTCCTCCAGGGGGAGCAAAGACTCACCGGCACTGTCAGAACATCGAAATAGGGAGGGGTATCTATTCTTCTATATCCTCAATCTTATCTCTTCCATCGCTTCGCCATGCCTGCCATTGAGAATGGACCATCGTTTACATACTCACACAATCCTTCCGATATCCCCCTTCAACCTTGTCACAAACTCGTCGAACAGCGGCGCCAACGAACAGTCCCGGTACTTATCTACAAACAGCCCGCCTTTGTTCTTCAGCGCCGCAACCTCTTCGGTGTCCAACTCTTTGCCCTGTATGACAGTACCCTTGGGGTATACAGGCCTCGTCCCACTCTCGACCAATTCCACAAACGCTGGATCAATTGGTACGGAGCCGAGGAATGGTACTTCGAACTCAGTCGCCATGACCGCTCCGCCGCCCTTGCTGAAGACATTTGTGCATTCCGAACAGTTGGGGCATACGAATCCTGCCATGTTCTCTACCACGCCTAGTACCCTAATTCCGGTCTTCTTGCAGAAATTCAGTTCCTTCTTCACGTCGCTAACGCTGATAGCTTGTGGGGTTGTGACTACGACGGCGCCGGCCAAGAACGGGACGTGCGGGTTGAGGGCAGGAGACGGCGTGGTATTCTTCAAGAGAGTTTCGAGTAGGGAGATATGTTCGTCCGAGGTACCGGGTGGTGTATCAATGAGTAGATAATCGAGCTTTGGCCAGAGGACGTCGGTCAAGAATTGGCGCACCATGGCGGTCTTCTTTGGGCCACGCCAAATCACAGCGTCGGAGCGCGAAGCCAGGATGAATCCCAGAGACATGCATGATAACGACCCAATCTTTTGACCATCTGCAGCCGCCGCTCCTCCCTCTTTCTGATCTGTTGTATTCCCATCCTCTCCCTCTTTCTGATGTGCCGCCAACGTCTGCTCCCCATGCACATCAACCGGTATCCACCCACCAGGCGCCTGTCTTACTTTCGCATCTTCAATACCGAAGAAGCGCGGTATACTCGGGCCCGTCAAATCTATGTCCAAGACACCGACCGAATGTCCTTGTAGCGATAGCGTGAGGGCGAGTTGCGTAGTCACGCTCGATTTTCCAACTCCGCCTTTGCCGGAGAGGACGAGGACGATGTTGCGAATGTTTTCGAGAGGCATCGCGAGCACGAAGGCGCTGATGGCCTGGGTATGTGTGAACGGCGGGGGTCGGTGGGGTTTGCGTTGACGGGTGTCGATGGGAAGTGGTTCGTTGTAGGGGGGTATGTGCAAGCTGAAACCCTCTAGATTATAGTATTAATCTGGAGCGTCGTCGGATGGGCGGAAGGAAGGGTTGTGTGGGTGGTGTCGCGGATGGCGCATGGTGTGAGTGATTGAGGGTTGTGGAGCGCGCTTTGAAATCCAACGACCTGAAAGTGGCGGTTTGCGGCGAGATCGGAGGTCCGACCTTGACCCGAGCAGGCCTACCCTACTACCAGCACATTATCTCTCATCAATTCTACAAGAAATCATAACATAGCTATCCCAATACATGGAAACTCGTCATTCTCACAAAATCAAATTAACCCTAAACTCTCGCATTTAATGCATGGCAATATGACTGTACCAGAATCAGTATACGTTCCTTGAAGCGTCTTTCATCATGACCAAGCCCACGGTAACATCTCAGCTATGAGTTCGGGAGATCATGTGCTCAAGGAGGATACGCTGCTGCCTCGAGCACATGATCTACCGAACTCATGGCTGAGATGTTACCGTGAATACCGTTCCAAAGCCGACCTCATGGAGCAAGTCAAAACTTGGACATTTGATGATCAAGCCCAAAAAGTCATTCCATATCTGGTATCAAATATAATCCCCTTTTCCAATCCGCTCTTTCGCAGGTATCTTCATTGCCATCTCCCTAAACAGCAGCCTTCTTTAGCGGCACCTCCTCGCCAACGACCAGTCTGTAGCCCTCCGCACCCTTCTCCGTCTCCAAGTCCTTTGGTGTTGCCGCCTTGGCGCCCACCTCCGGGAAGCTAAACGCCTTACTCCTGCCTCCCTCGAGACCCTTCCAAACACCGACCGTATTCCAATTGGTCCATGTCAGCGCGCCAACCCAGGGCTGCACATTCCACCCCAGCTCCAGTGCGACATCCGTCCTGTTGCCTAGCTTGCCAGTGATATCGGTAATCTTGTACTTTGGCTTCTGGTTATCGAGGTGGAGTTCACCGACGGGATAGGGCGACGCGGTCTTTTGCTTGGATGCAGCGCGTTTCTTGGCGGATTGCTTGGGCAGCTTGGACTTGGGGTCGGGGTGGATGAAGTGGTTTTGATTCCAGGGCGCGGACTTTGAGGCGACGATGGCATCCCAGATGATGGCTTCGGAGGGGGGTTCCGAGGCGCGGGTGGAGGGGTAGACGGCCTTGAGGTAGATGAAGACTTGCTTCGTGTTCCAGTTGAAGAGGGAGCTGAGATCTGCATGGAGGCGTCAGTCATGGTGTTTGAATGCTTGGACGCAGCGTAATTGCGACTCGTGTGAGAGACATACCGGCGTCTAGATCGAACTTGACGTGCGCATACTCTTCCCGTTTGGGTGAGTAGTAGTGCGGCCGTCCTCTCACTACCTGCACATTGCGCAGCGATATACTGGCCGTCGGGTTCTGCGGGGAGACGAAGCTGCTCAGCGCGATGATACTCGCGACTGTGAAAGCGACTGTGGTAAAGAAGCCAAAGACATTCTGGAGACGCACAAGCGTCGAATGCATTGTGAAATGTGTGATGTGAGCGCAGAGCCCAGTCTATCAACCTCTGTCGGCCACGAGAGGGAGAAGGAACTGTTGAAGGTGGGCGTGGAGATGTAGCCTTCGGTGGTCCTAACACGTATCTGGACTGTTGCGCGGAGGTCGGAGCTCAGCCCTACGAGACCAGGGTTCACCGTTTCCACGCTAGTGCATCACCGTCTCACCATCTCATGTCAGACGAGCGGATATTGTCACAAGTACACATGTTCGAGTGAGCTTATTTTATTGACGCTGCTACCGACGACTCAATATGGGTATCAGGATTCACCACTCCTATCATCCACCGTTATCTTCCCAACCCTTGAGCTCTTTCCCTGACATGTACGCGCATCGTCTATGCATTCCTCCCAGATGTGTTCACGCTGAACGCCGCAACGCCACGCTAACTTACTTCCTGGAACGCTCAAACAATACCGAACAGACGTTTCAATGATCGAGAAGAACACTCTACTGTGCAGCAGGTTGCGCGCCGCCCCTTGGGCCTCCACGCCCACGGAATCCGCCACGACCACGGCCTCGTCCTCTACCACCACGTCCGCCATCTAGATTGGCAGGCGGTGGTACGTTAGAGTAGTTTCGCGGCTGAAAGTTCGGGTTGTTAGGAACAACTCCCTCCGCCGGGTCAGTGTTGTCGATGACAGTGAAGCCACCACGGCCCTTGTGGCCTCCTCGTCCACGGGGAACGAAGTCTGCTGAGCCACCACGGAGGTTACCGCGAGCGTTGCCGCCGTTTGGAGCTTGGTTCTGGTTCTGCGCGGGCTGGCCATTTGCTTGTCCACCACGGGGCGCAAATCCGCCACGGCCGCCACGAGGTGGTCCGCCATGGATCGGGAGGGTCTGCTGCTGTCCTTGGGGTTGCTGTGGTCCTGGACTTTGGCGTGGTGCGAAGCCTCCACCCCGTCCGTTCGCGCCTCCGAATGCTCCTCGGTATGACCCACGGAGAGGTGCTGGTGTACCCGCTGGAACGAGCTGAGGACCCCCAGGGGCACCGAAGCGAGGCATGTTGTACGATGAAGGCACTTGTTGTGGGCGCTTCGCGGCAGCGGCACTGGAATAGTGGACGACCTGCTGATCCGTCATGTTGAGAACTGCAGTCGCTGGAACAGTGGATCCTCTGAATGGCGAACAGCGGTCTCCGAGCGATGTACCGCTCATAAATGTAGCATCGAACACAACATCCAGCAACAAAACACGTGCGGTGCGGGTCTTGCCAACCACGGTACCTGATGATCCAATTGGTACCCTTCCAGAGTCTTGAACATAGACAATGCGATCGCCAATGCTGAAGTTCTGGTGTCCAAGACGCTGCTCCGCGTCAGACGGCTTCAGCAAGGCAACACGTGGCACCTTGGCGACGGTCTTGGGCTCCACTTCTTGTGTAAGTGGGAAGTTGGCATCAGCCGCTTGCTCGATGAGCTTGACTGTATCAGAGTCGAGCTGCTCGGCGTCCAAGGGTACTTTCTCAAAGTTCTTGGTCTGGACGCTCTTTAACCAGGCTCCAATCTCCTTGACCTTCTGCTTTGCAACCTCGGGAGGATAAAAGTCAGTGTCCTCCCATCCATCACCTGTCGGGTTGTTGATAATGGCGGCAACAAACTCTGGGAACTTGATCATGTACTGCGCCAAAAGGTCCATCGCTTTCTGGCTGTACTCCCATCCGTTGGCTGATTTACGAGAATAGCCCAACACCTTGAGCTTCTTCGCCTCGAATTTGAGGTTCAACCCAAGGTTGAGCTTGAGACCACTTGAGTTGACGTTGAAAGAGGACGTGAGCTTGGACAATGCAAGCGGCGGCATGTTCAGTTGCCTTGCCACAACGTAAGATGGAACATAGGGCGTTGATCTTTCAGCCTTACTGACAACTTCGCGTCCAAAATGCGGCTCTTGCTTCTTGAGCTTGGCGACCATAATTGTAGCCTTGTTGTCGGCATGGCTGACGACTTGCAGAGGACGGCCATAGGCGTAGTCTCCGAGATAGAATGCGCGTGCTCCTTCGGGGAATTCCTCCTCGATAGGAAGTGCCTCTTTCTCCAGGAAGCGAGGGTCTGCGCTGAAGACGTCGTCTACGACTGTCTGAGTCGCGTACTCCACTTGCAGCCCAGCAACCTCACCGTACTCCTTGATGGTGGCTCCTTCGTCAGTCTTCCTAAGTCCCTTGAGCATTTCTACGTGCACGAGGGACTCAATTTCCCCGACGTTGATACCGAGGCGCTTGCTGTACTGGTTTTCGATGCGGTTGGCTGTCTTCTTCCAATTGGAGATCTCCTGTGGACCATGAGGGATAGCAACAGGTGCAGGAGATGGGCCATCCTCGGGCAAGACGTAGTCGAATAACTCGTCCGATACTTTGACCACTTTCGCTTCGTGTAAGAAAGGGTAACCAACATGAACCGCCTTGCCCAGCTTGGCCTGCGCGTGAGAGACAGACTGTCGTGGCTCTGTATCAAGGAGAGTGATAACCATGCTTTCGTTCCGGCTATCTTGCATGAAAACATTGACGCCTGCAAACTCCAGCTTGCCATGGAACGGCAAAGTCTTCAAACTGGGAAAGCCAGCCAATGCCTCGGCTCCCAGTTTAACACCGTCCATGAGGCCAATGTAGTACTCCAGTCCTTCCATTGTCGGCAGGTCGAATATGTTCTCGATGCACTTGCAGTGGGGAAGGTCCGGGAAAACGCCTGGCAAAGATGACTGGTACACGAAATCCAGATCTTTGGCGTATGTGAACTTGAGAGAAACACCAAATGAATTACGCATCTTTTCATCTGGCGTCAAGTCATTTTCCTTGGTGGCCATGGCCTTGAGCAGACGGTCCTCTTGGATGAACGGAATCTTGACAACAGCCTCCCAGTCCTGTTTCTTTCCGTTCATATCGAGAGTAAAGTCTCGGGGATAGAAATCGATGATGGGAGAGTCCTCGTTTGTCATGAGAGGATGGTACGCTTTCGGTACGATACTCTTACTGCGGTCGGGTAGTACACCCATCAACTGCTGGAAAGGCTTGAACGGCTGTCCAAGCTTGAAGTTGATGTCTGCCTTCAGACCCCGTTTGACATCAGAAATCATAGGCGAGTAGTGGTAGCCATAGTACCATGGCCATGACGCTACTCCGCGGTAGTAGTAGAAGAGAACCCATTGCAATCCTTGCACGTAGTTCTCCGTCAGTTTTCGTAGCTCCTCCTCGTTGCTGCGATCCCAATCGAATTTGCTCTTGTAGTAGTCGTTCTTCCAAGCGTCGAACTTCTCGTCGTATTTCTTTTGCATCTCAGTTTGGGCGTCTTCGGGTGAGATGTCGACAACCTTGGCCTGCTCGTACTTCTGTACGACGCGTACAATGGCTTTCGTGGATTCGTCGTCCATCTCGTCCTCGTCGTCCGAATCACCCTCGACCAGCTTAGGTGGAGCTGCAACCTGAATATGGCGATCGCCGTCGTCATTTTGTACAGTCTTCCATGGAAGATGTAGTTTGTCGGCAAGTTCCTGGACAAACTTTCGGTCCTCTGCAGGAAGAGATACAGGAAGGTCCAGCGGGGCTGGCTCTTTCTTCTCCAAGTAATCGCCCAGCCAACTCTTTACCTTGGAGAACAGAGCCTGCTGTTGGGTAGTCATAACAATCGTGCCTCGCTTCGCCGTCTTCACCATTACATCTTCCTTTCCAAGTTTCTTACCCTTGAACCAAGCGGCGTCGGAGTTTTCAGATTCGAAATGACGGTATTCGATGTTTGAGAGTTCATCCAACAAGATAGCCAAGCGCTCCATGTTGATGACACCCTCCTCGTTGATGTATCCTTTGCCCTTGGGCAGGACAGTCTTGTAGACGTTGAACATGAGGGCCAAGGCGCCCTCGTTGATATGCAAATGTGGAAGATTAGGAAGGAAATCGTTGCCAACAAAGAAAGCCATAAGAATGAAATCGTCAATAACACGCTCCATGTCGAACGGAAAGCTGAGAGCTCCGGGCTCTTCCAGTTCCTGGAACTCAAGCTCCAGGTATTCTCGCACAATGCTCAGATGCATGAGGTAGAAGTTCTGGTGTTCCAACTCCTTGGACTTGGTTTGGCTTTGGCGACCAAACGTCACCTCCTCACGCAGTAAACTGAAGTGGGGATCGTGGCTGAGCAGACCCAACATGATCAGGTCGGCATCGAGACCGTACAGGCAGTGGCGGCGGTTCGGGTCGTAGCCCGGCTGTGCCTTGGCCTGACGGATGTACTCCATGACCTTGTGCTCTCCCTCTCCGGGGACCTCGTGACCAGACAGTACGACTTCCACGCCCTGCCAATCTATGTCCTCGGAGACCTTCTTGTTGATGAAGTACTTAAGCTGCTGCGTGAGCTTCGCCATGAAGGCAGTGCCTGGCGTAATGCAGTTGCTGTCGAACGCTTCCTCGGTCGGCATCTCTACGCCTTCGCGGATAGCCTTCTCCCGGGCCTTTTCAGTATCGAGAGCGGTTCGGAAACGTCGTGCACGCTGCTGGTTCATCTTGGCGCGCGGGGCGACACCATCGATGGCCATGAAGAAGAGCTGCTTGGGCTTGATCTTGCCAAACAAGTGCTCGATGTAGTTGAAGATGGAGATGAACATCTGATCTTCGGACTTGCGCGCCGTGACGCTGTCGGAATCGTTGTGGGTGCAATTGTGAATAATACCGTTCATGTCAAGCTGTGACTGTTAGCTAGGCGCATCAATTGCGACACACGGGTACCTACGTAGAGACAGTCGAATTCGGGAATGCGGTTTTCGGCAATGAGCTGCGAAATACCGGGATACCTTTCGGACATCCATCGAAAGAACTTGGGGACACCCATGACTGCTACTGTCTAGGAATAGCTGAAGATGGATGTGGTGGTGAGGCGGCGATGCACCTCGTGTGTACAAGTGGCGGGGTGAGAGTCGCAGAGAGGGCGACGGGGAGGAAGATGGTAGTAGAGAGAAGCGCGCAGAGGCGCTGTGGGTGGGAGGGCGAGAGGGAGTATGGGGTGGTGGTTCTCGACGCTGGGGTCTTCAAAGAGTCGGAGTCTTGCTCATCGACGCAATGGATATGCTGGCGGCGACTGCCAAGCAGGTGGGGCGCTAAGGGATCGACATCGGGGTTGGTCCAAACGCGACTTTTGGGAGCGCGTCGTGCCTCTTCCACGCTTTACACACGCAGCATTCCATACAATACACTTTGCCCTTGACTTCGAGTACGATCGCAAGCACATCATGGACGAGACTATGAGCGGTAAGTTCATTTTCTGTTGGAAAGTGTGGTCCGCGACAGCGTCATGCCGACCAACAGCAAGCTTCGCTCTACAATTCGCATCGATACAGTCGGCGCATAGCATCCAAGCTCGCTACCGGACTCCTACAGTCACCCACGTCTCCGAAATTATTTAAAGTGCCCCAACACCTGATACTAATTCCACCGACAGACGCTCTCGATTCCCGCGAGATGGACGACCAAGAACAGACCGAGCAGAAGATCATCAACGAGGAGTACAAGATGTGGAAGAAGAACAGTGTCTTCCTCTACGATATGCTCTACGGCCGCGCGCTCGAGTGGCCGACGCTCACAACACAATGGCTGCCGGACAAGAAGCCCGTCGAGGGCACCAACATGAGCCAGCACCGCGTCATCCTCGGCACCCATACGTCAAACCAAGCCCAGAACTACCTCCAGATCGCCCATTGCGAGATACCAGACGCCCGCGTTCCAGACCTTACCGAGCTCAACGAAGAGCGGGGAGAGATTGGCGGCCACGGCAACGCGAAGCGACCCTTTGACTTCAAGATTGTGCAGAAGATCAACCACCCCGGCGAGGTCAACAAGGCCCGCTACCAGCCTCAGAACCCCGATATCATAGCGTCGCTCTGTGTCGACGGCAAGGTGCTTATTTTCGACCGGACTAAGCATCCGTTGCAACCAAAGGATGACACCATCAAGTTCGAGGCGGAGCTTGTGGGTCACAGCAAAGAGGGCTTTGGCTTGAGCTGGAGTCCTTTGAAAGAAGGACATCTGGTGACTGGTAATGAAGATACTACAGTCAAGACATGGGACATCAAGAGTGGCTTCTCTAAGAACAGCAAGACCATCAGCCCGACGGCAACATACAACATCCACAGCGCAACCGTCAACGATGTCCAATACCACCCAATCCACCACCAGCTCATCGGTACTGCGTCAGACGATCTTACCTGGCAAGTCATCGATACTCGTCAGGAGGCATACAAGAAGGCGCTGTACAGGAAGGAAGCCCACGAAGACGCGGTCAACTGCATCTCGTTCCACCCCGAATTTGATTCGATGCTTGCGACGGGTTCTGCCGACAAATCGGTGGGAATCTGGGATCTTCGCAACATCGACAAGAAGATACACAGCCTGCAGAGCCATCGCTCAGATGTCATCGGTCTGCAGTGGCACCCGCAAGACGCTGCTATCCTTGCCAGCTCTAGCTACGATCGCCGTGTCCTCCTCTGGGATTTCAGCAAGATCGGCTCTGAACAGACGGAGGATGAGCAAGAAGATGGGCCCCCTGAGCTGTATGTAATTCCAAACACGTGTCCGGCTCCTGTACTAACCTTTCACAGATTGTTCATGCACGGTGGATTCACCAACCGAATCTGTGACTTTGACTGGAATAAGAACGACCCTTGGCTCATGATGGGTGCTGCCGAGGACAACCAGCTGCAGATCTTCCGCCCTGCGCGCAAACTTGTGGAGCCGCTTAACAAGACTGTGAACCATGGAGAGGTCTCAGACTGAGCTCCCTCATCCTCTTCACCTGTTCCTTTCGAGGTGGCTAACCCAAGGGTGTTTGCAGGTTGCGGTAACGACTTTGGAACCCGAAGAGCCATCTCCACCCTTTGATTCCCAGGCGATTGAAAGCGCGGGAGAGGCTTCAGAAGAAGAGGTTTCTAGACGTTCTGAGAGTTCTGAGCTTTCTGATCTTCCTCCATGGAACACTCTCGCAGACGAAATAGTTCTTGATTCTCGCCTTCGTAGCGGCCGTGAACGTTGAGCACAACCGACTGGTGGTGGAGCAAAGGGAGAACATGAGATTGGTGTTGGGCGTAACAGCTTAGTGATATCCTTCTCAAAGTCTTTTACGATTACAGTTCCGTAGACACATGAATCAGAATGCGTCCGTTATACCATAGCACTGTCGCATTGCATGAAATTCTTGAGTAAGCAGTGCTCATTGCGAGCCATGGACTGATCGCGAGGCCCGTGCTAGCTAACCTCCGAGGTACGAACTATCTGGTCCCCGCAATCATCATCCCATCTCTCACGCACCCGCCATGTGAAAGCAACATCAACAGCCAAGCCCTTATAACCGGGTTTGCAGTCACAGACATAAACACCATTTCGCCAATAGAAGACTAGCCCACGATGCTTCTCCTCGGTCTGACTGGCTCCATCGCGACGGGCAAGTCGACCGTGTCGTCCATCCTCTCCAAGCCGCCCTACTCGCTACCCATCGTAGATGCCGATCTCATCGCGCGACAAGTCGTCGAACCTGGCACCCCGGGCTACAATGCCATCGTCGAACACTTTTTGCCTACTACGCCTGACCTCCTCCTCCCCGATGCGACACCCAAAGGACGCCCGCTGAACCGGCCAGCACTGGGGCGGAGAGTCTTTGGCGGCGGAGAAGAGAAGGAGCGCGACAGGAAGAAGCTGAACAGCATCGTGCACCCTGCCGTGCGCAAGGAGATGTACAGACAAATGGTGTGGGCCTACCTGCGCGGCAACTGGGCAGTCGTGCTAGACGTCCCTCTCCTCTTCGAAAGTGGCTGGGAACGCTACTGCGGTACCATTCTTGTTGTCGGCGTCTCGGACCCTGCGATACAAATAAAACGCCTGCGAGATCGCGACTCTCATCTTACCGAAGAGGATGCGCGCAACCGCGTCATGAGTCAAGGCGACGTGCGCGAGAAGGCCGAGCGCTGTTTGCGGAGGGGTCCGGGAAATGGCGTCGTAGTCTGGAATGACCACGACAGGCGTTACCTAGAGAAGGAGATACAGAGAGTCATGCAGGACGTCAGGAATAATAGCCCGCGATGGTGGAGTTTCCTCCTCTGGGCCTTCCCACCGTTTGGAGCCATAGCTGGCGCGTTGAGCTGGTACAGGATGCGCAACGTGCAGCTACAGTGGGAACAAGAGAAGAAGCGGGAGAAGGCGAAGCTGTAGGAAGTGGGTTGATGCGTTGACTCAGATGCCTTTGCTTCGAGGGTAACAGAGGGTCGGTGCTGGTGCGTGTTGGTGTTTGTTGGATGTGCGCATAGGTATTCTAGCAATTGGCAGCACGGGCGCTGTGTCACGGTAAATGTTTTCAAGTCTCTCAATATGTCTCTGTGTCTGTCGTGTCTTGCAAACATGTCTCGTCGCTCTGCATATCGTACTTTCGTTGTCGTTGTGTGTCTATCATGCAGCAGGCAAAAGGCTGTTCACCTTCACCTCTGCTCCACTATTGTGGATATGCCGTCATCCAAGCCCTCAACACACCGACGCTTCTTCATCCGCCCCGCTGTACGCAAATCTGCAAATCGAAATAACTCTGTCTGCAAAACATACATTTGCGAGCGTCTATCCCACGCTCCTTCCGGACTCCAACCATACGACTATGATGCAGACATGAGTTCCATAACCCCCCAATCTTTCGTCGATGACGGCGGCTCTTTCACGAAGCGCACGCCCCGCGGGCTTGACCACGGCCATGTCGCGAAGTGGGTTACCAGCAACAGCTCAGATACCTCAGCCTATACCGGCAGTTTTATCGATGACGGCGCGGACATGCACCTTCCTCCGGGAGCAACCCCAGGCTTTGGCCCAATCGATACTCGCTTCTACAAGCAGAGAAAACGACCAGAGCCCAAACATGGTGCAGGTACGATGTGGAACGAAGACATGCAAAGGGCGATTAGTGGAGACATACACCGGAATTTGGAGAAGATCCGAGGCCTAGGTGGACTAGAGGTGAAGAAACCAGGCCGCAATCAGGGTACGAACGAGACAGCTGGCGGACAAGGAGAGAAGAACAAGGATACAGTAACGATTCCTATGCCACCTCAATGGGGGACGTTCGTCATCAAAGCAGAGGATGGCCGCGTTATCGTCGTGGACAAAGACGGAGAATTCGACTCTGGACCACAAAAGGCTGTCAGTGAGCAACAGAGACCATGGGTCAAAGCAGCATCAACGATCGAACCAACCTCCCCCGCCCACACTCCATTTCCCCCATCGCCACCGAAACCCCGCAACTCTACCCGTCCGTCGAAGGAACCCTCAGGCGACAGCTGGAAGCAGAAGACTAAAAGTGAAAAGAAGGACAAGAATAAGAAGTCTCGCCAGTCACACCACTCACCACCCAAAGCCCTCACGCCTACTCCTGAGTCGGACTACGAAGACGGCTACTTGCCTTATGACGGCGAAGATATAGGGTCGCCAACGGGCTTTATGATGACAGGTGGTGCCAGTGGTTGGCCTTCTAGCAAACCTACATCTATTGCGTCTCCAGCTATATCAGTGAGCGATGGCTACGAGTACATCGCCCCAGGCTCACCGCTCAAGACTATCAGTGAGGGATTCAGATACGTCACACCAGCCTCAAGGGGCTACAAACCAGTTGTTCCAAAGTCGGACTCATGGGTCGAAGAGAAGAGATCATCACCTGTGCGTTCACCACCTGGAGGATGGCCGTCTCCCGAACTGTCTCCAGTCAGGGAGAACCGTAATGCAGGTTCAGAAAGGTCTTGGAACGGTGGCCAGTTCGAGGGTGCATGGAAAGCTGCCAGTCCAAGTCATTCACACAAGAGTGACAGATCGCACCATACCAGTAGGAGCGGCAAGGCACGAAAGTCAAGGAAGGACCTCGACAATACTTCGGTAAAGAGCCATTCGACCTACAGAGCGCCTACAGTTGAAGATGCGCCCCACGACTCTTCGGAAGAGAAAGAGGATCACATCGCGACTGGATGGGGAGGCAGTGTGAAGAGCAACGTTTCTCATGACTGGGATGTCAACAAGAAGAAGAGTGAAGAGAAAGATAAGACAGCTGGATGGACTTCACCTCTTAACAACCCTCACCCATATACATGGGGAAGCACTAAGTCTCCCAGCGAGCAAAGTTGGGACAAGAGGCCTAAAGTAGCCGACAATCCTGCCTGGACCGGCATTGAACCTTTTGCTTCCCACAATCAAATGGACAGCCCGACGTCTCCACAATTTGGTGGTCCAACGCTTCCTTCAAGCAATACTGCATGGGATGGCTTTGAAATAAGTAAAGGGACTAGTGATGCCGGTGTCGTCGGCACAGATAGTGAGCGCGGATCTCTAGGGAATCAAAGTCGAGTCTCCAGTCAGCCGTCTACACACCGGTCTCATCGAAGTCACGACACCCGTACTAGCCATAAGAGTAACAGACACAGAAAAACTACTGGATGGGAGGACGCCCAATCAGGCTGGGCTGGTGGCAGTCAGACTAGCAATAAGAGCCGGAACTCCCATCAGCCTGACGCTGCGACCGGGTGGCCTGGTAGTCGTGCCGCCAGTCAAACGAGCTGGAATGGGGAAAAAGCTCATGTCAACTATGGCGATGGTGATGACTGGGACGACGGAGACAAGGGCAAGGGAACTTTTGCGAATGGCTTCGATGAGGACAATGCGACATACTTAAATGACAATTGGGGTGGAACTCCAGTCCGAGTGGGGAGTCGTGCGGGGAGCAGGGCCTCAAGGCAGAGTGGTGTGGGCTGGGAGTAAGCAGAATACGCGACGACGCGACAATGCGACCGCGAAGGGAAAAGCAAACCGAGATATTGCAACGGAAAGAAACTCAGAATTAGCTGCTGGAGCATACAGAATCATCGGAAACACTAGCTGCAAGTTTGAGAATGCTCCACGGGATTGCCAATCTGCTATAACTAAAGGGATGCATGGCAATTAATATGCGCATCAGCAGTCAGCATGGGAAGCCAACAGAAAGCCAGCTCGACATGCATGATCCAGCAAATTCGCGTGCATCCTGCCTCATCGCGTCGAGTAGAGGGAACCCCGCTGCATATAGGTGCGCGTCGAAACACCAACGCGATGCTCGAAGACCAGCAGATGGTCCGGACTTCACCAGGTCGCCAACCACCTATGACACCATGACATCTCTGTGACAAGTGACAAACGCAGACCAACGTACAAGATGCCTCGGACAGCGTTTCTACTGCACGTACTATGCCTCAGCACGCTGCAAGGCCCGGGATGAACGCGCAAAATCGAACCAGCGTTCACGTCCATATCGCGAGCGCGCAAAGTCGCGTTTTGGTGGCGCAAGTGACACTGCAGGTGGATCCGGAGCTTCCTGGCCAATAGACTGCATTACATGCCGGGGCTTGGAGGGTTAAAACCAGTTTTGCATGATAGTTTCGGGACATGATCCTGGTCTGAGTGGAGAAGACGGACGCGATTGTGGGAGGCGGCCCCTAAGTGCGTGATGGACACGCTAAGTTGGAGGGAGACTGGGGACGCGTTGAGTGCGCCCATGTAATAGCTTCATGACCCAGTCTCGCATCCTTCTTTCTCCCATCTCTTCTCTTCAGACTTGATCTTGTCCAAGTTCTCTGTCGTTGACTCAGCTTTCTCTGTCCACTGTGAGAGTCGTAGTCGAGACATTTGTTGTTGTTCCTGTTTTCGGTCTGCCGCCTTGGACCTAGTCGCGCGCTCCAGCTCAAACGAGATACGATAACCACCCCACCTTTCGCACCTTCCGTCCCAACGACAATCACCTACAACACCACTACCCACATACCTCAATCGCGTCAGTTGATCTTTCGGGCCGATATATCTTCTTCACATCATTTCAATCGCTATCACAACACCACCGACAGTCTCTACCATGGCCACCTCTACGCGCCAGCCGTTTGCCGAGCTTGGCTCGTCACGTCTCCAGGTACTCCAGAGCGCGAAGAACAGGCAAAATGGTAAATAGCTTCACTCCACGTGCCGTTGCATTCACTAAACGCGTATGCGACAGCTCTTACACCAAACTTCGCGTCTCAGCAGGGCCTGAAGTCAATTCCTACGCCATCGACGGGTAAGCGCCAGCGCGCACCCGAGATCTTCGAAGATGCCGACTCCGAGAACGTGGACCCGTCCATCTTCAACAGCCCAACCAAGAAGTCCAAGACAGCCAGCCACAGCGATGCAGGATACATCAAGCCGTCCATCTTTACTTCGCCGATCAAGCCCAGTGCCAGCAGCCTCAATGCGACGCCTTCCGTCCCGTCTGTGCGTAAAGCACTTTCGTCACCCAACACTGCCAAGTCAACGCCCATCTCCACCAGCCGCGGCTCACCTAAGAACAAGCGTCTCCATGCTGTTTCAAAGCGTCGCGCATCCAGCTCGCCCTTCCGACGCGTCGACCCCCCATCCTTTACGCAGAGCAGCCCCAGCCTACCCTTCTCCATCGACGCAGCCCTCAGCGGCTCCATCTCGACTTACACACCCAAGGCCCCCACCGTAGCCGCCACGCCTGTTTCAGCACCCGCCCCGCAGACCCCAATCGTCGATGACAGCATGCCCAAGAGCTGGTTCTTCGAGATCCACGAGGACACGCCCGAGCAGGAAGCCGCAAACCTTATGGAGCACTCCGCATCTGTTCTCGACATTTCATCCGATGATGACGCAAAGACCAAGGCCAGCAACGAGGACCGCGGCAAGGAGAACGTCCCACCACCAGACTTCCTCGCTGCGCAAGCTCGCAAGCGCAACCACGCTTCGTCTTTTGACGACGGCTACGAGACTGATATCCTAGCCGATATGCCTGTCAAGCAACCTCGTCTTCGCAAGTTCGTCCAAGATGCCATGGATGAGGACCGCAGGCCGTTGGGTGACCTTGCACCGAGTGAGTTCTATGCCGAAGGCTGTGACGCTACCTCGTACGTCACTGTCGATGCTGGAATCGAGAAGCCCTCGCGTCTGTCAAACGTATTCGATGCTAGCTGTGTTACACCCGAGAAGAAAAAGAGTGTTGTTGTTGAAGAAGTCCCCGCTGCCGTTGAGGAAGAGACAACAGTGGCCGAAGAGGTCGTTGCTGCACCTGCTGTCGACGTGCCTGCTGTCGAGGCTGTCGTCGAGAGTACGTCACTGACATGCGAGGTACCTGCCGCCGCATCATGAGTCGCACTTCCTCCTGCTGCGTTCTTTCTCTCCTTCTCACATTCTTGGAAACCTCAATTTTCGTTTGGATCTCTCCAAGGCGTTGTTGCTAGCTTGTCACGATGTCCACTGTTTATGGTCATGACCACGCTTAGTCACGTATATATGATTGATATGGGGCGTTTTGGGTTGATTGGTTGGTTGTTGTCTTATGATACCTTTACTGCAAGCGCAGGTCTGTCTTGCTTGATTAATACGATTACTTTCACTTTGAACAATTTCTTCTACTATGAGGTGACGGTGATGACTACAATGGTTCTCGACAGAAACAGGACAGATGCATATACTACTACATAAGAAAGTGGAGAGGTGCCAGGCCGTACAAGGTCGTATATATGTTATCAGAACGCTCGTCGTAAATCTATCATACGTGTCCATAACCCAAATCGCTACTTCGAAACGTGTTGACCATCGTCCAACCCATAACACTAAGAGCGTAGCATAGTGGGATGAGGAGAAGGCGAGCGCCCTCTCAGCATGGGCGTACTAGGCTTAAGCATGGGGCTCGCCGTCGCGCTCAAAGCGTCCAGACTGAGCTTGCTGATAGCGTCGAGGTTGCCCTGAACATCATCGTCTGTGAGATCGAGCATCAGACGAAGTTCATTCGCCTTCAACGGCGCTCCCAGCCCCACCATCAACTGTTCCTTGTCCACCGAGCCGGGCACGTCGTAGTAGTACCACCTGTAGTCAATATCTTCCAGCCGATGTGGCTCCGCAGGCGTCGTGAGCCGCGCAGCAACGCGGCGTACGTCCATGCCAAACACACCCGATATAGATGGCTCGGTGCCGATTCCGCCCAAGCTGGCTTCCGCTCTGCCACGGAGGGGTCCAGGGACTTTAGCGTCCTTTTCGATGGGCGTCTCGTTGATGCGGTTCGAGGCGCCTGCGTCGCGCAACTTGGCGCGCTTGAAGGTTGCGTTCTTGAGCTCGGTCAGGCCGAGGACGATGTAGAGTGGCTTGCCCGCTTTGATCTGTTCGGCCATCCAGATGCGTGCCTCGGGGTCGTTGCAGACGGCTTGGAAAGCTCTTGACGATGACTGCGTGGTCCGTTGTATCATCTGCTCAGCCTTGACAGTGAGCAGGTTGGGCTGTCTGTATATCCTTCCCAGATCGAACCTCGCGCCATAGTTGGTCGTGAATCGGCCTTCGGTGTCGACTGAGTAGAGGTCTTTATAGCGGAGCTGGATGTGGAAGTCGTTCAGATCGTCGACTTCTGCGTGCGCTTTATCGGGGTAGAAGGAGTCGCGTTCCGGGTGTAGGGGCTCTGTAACCAGTTGGCCGACTACGAGGGCGTCGGCGGGGAGGGGCTTCGGGAGCAGTGCATTCTGCACCATTGCTGCGGACCTGCGGGTTGCGGATAGGTAAGTGTGGGAATGTGTCTGGAACGATGCAGACGAGTGTTGCGTGTTAGCTATCGACATTCAGGGGCAATGGCGAAGCATGAGCAAAAGTATGGTGAACCCCCATGGCTGCGAATCGCTGCGAATCAGAGGGCTGCATCAGACCCGGTGGCAGGTGCTTGGCTAATCTAGCTAGAAGGTGCTACAAGACTACACGTTCGCAGTTTCGACATTGATACTGGATCAAGCACCGCTCGCCGAGCCAGACACGATATCGTAGGTATGTATTAAGATGGAATGGGAGGTTTGGCCGACGAGGTGTCACGTGCGACTGCGGCATCGGAGAAATGAAATTCCCATCAGCCATGCGCGGGACCGATGGAGCATGGCAAACTAAGTCAGCGTGCGGCGGATACCGGCAACGTCATGTATATTGACAATAAAGCCCCATTGATTCTGCGTGTTGAGATCGTAGATGGTTGGGAGACGGCTTCCGCATGCGTGGAGCTTCCATGGATGCGCGGTTTTCCTTCGGCCGTGCAACATCACTCACGCTCTAGGCCGGCAGTTCCAAGGTTTCCACGACCGATCGGATCCGCTTGCTACATGGCGATGTACGCAGAGATTCTCGGAGCTGCTACCATGTTCGCCTGCAGCTACATGCAGGGTCCGTCAGAGTCTTCCAACAGGATCGAGCAGACGACCGATGCCTCGATGAAGAAGAAAGAGCTGAGTAACGATTACTGTATCTGCCAGGCTCCCAGTTAGCAATGCACAGCGCCTTGCTTACTAGTAGCCAAGGCTGAGCACAGTAGCACATGTGGGTATGCATTACATTCAACATGGCATAAGGTGCTCGAGTGGCAGCGTGGCGGCTTCGTACTGCACGAGCAGCTTAGACGCGCGGGTTGACACGGCCAAATGTCTTTGTCAAAGCATGAATCGCTGACAGCGCATGTCGTGTATCAATCGTGGGGTTCCACTTTGGGAACATGCAACAGCTCGGCGGCACCTAGGCAAGACCACGAGACAAGCGTACCTAAAGTTATTAGGTTGTAGCATTGGAAAAGTCAGCCACGGGATCGGAGAAATCGATGATAACGCGTGGGAGAAAAAGCAATGCGATGGGTTCACGCGCCAGGAGGGCACGAAGAGGCGGCCCAAGCTCCCGTAGAGCAAGCTAACAGAGGGGCAGGAACGTCACAGCAACCCACCCACCCCCGTCGGTCGCTAGGATCTCAGCGGAATAGCGAAGCCAGACTGTCCACGTCTTGGTGCCATTGGCGAATCATGCTCAGTGGCATGACGTCCAGAAGCTGTTAGGACGAGCCACACGTCACTGTCGACCCAGCGCCCCTCACTAACCGCTAATGCGTGAAGCTGTCCATCAAGTCTTTTCAGCCGCAGAGGAGTACTTGAACCCCTCCGTGCCCCTCCAGATCAGCCTCCATCTTCTTATTCCATCACACTCAAACCCAATCTCTCTTCCATATACCCCAAAACCTTTCTACTCTATTCACAAACCCTCACAACCGCCACAATGATCAACGTTCCCCAAGCAACCGAGCTCAAGGACCTTTTCAGCCTCAAGGGCAAGGTCGTCATCGTCACTGGTGCCTCCGGCCCTACCGGTATTGGCACAGAGGCTGCCCGAGGATGCGCTGAGTACGGCGCCGACCTCGCCATCACCTACAACTCTCGCGCTGAGGGCGCCGAGAAGAACGCAAAGGAGATGAGCGAGAAGTACGGTGTCAAGGTCAAGGCCTACAAGTGCCAGGTCAACGACTACTCCGCTTGCGAGAAGCTCGTCAACGACGTCATCAAGGACTTCGGCAAGGTCGATGTCTTCATCGCCAACGCCGGAAAGACTGCCGACAACGGTATCCTCGACGCTACCGTTGAGCAGTGGAAGGAGGTCATCGAGACCGACTTGACTGGTACCTTCAACTGCGCCCGTGCCGTCGGTCTCCACTTCCGCGAGCGCAAGACCGGCTCCCTCGTCATCACCTCCTCCATGTCCGGCCACATTGCCAACTTCCCCCAGGAGCAGGCCTCCTACAACGTCGCCAAGGCCGGCTGCATTCACCTTGCCAAGTCTCTTGCCAACGAGTGGAGGGACTTTGCCCGTGTCAACTCCATCTCCCCCGGATACATTGACACTGGTCTCTCCGACTTCGTTCCCCAGGACATCCAGAAGCTGTGGCACTCCATGATCCCCATGGGCCGTGACGCTAAGGCCACCGAGCTCAAGGGTGCCTACGTCTACTTCGCCTCTGACGCCTCGTCCTACTGCACTGTAAGTTTACACGTCCAGATTATACCTCTTCAAGTCACTAACAATCTCAGGGTTCCGATCTCCTCATCGACGGTGGTTACTGCGTCAGGTAAACGTATCGTCTTGACGACTTGATACGAGTGGAGGAATATAATAATGAACGACATTATGCCGGAAGACTTGAGTCCGTGTAAATAGCATCGAGACAGTAATAAAGCTTCGCAGGTTTCACTTCAAAGCCATCCATCATGTTGTCGTGACTTCACCTCGTTTCTCATTCTAGATTGCTCAGAGAGTCCTCTGAGTGATTACGAAGAAGACATTCGAGCTTTGCACGGTATGGTTTAACCGTATTAACTGGCGAAAAGACTTCATGCTCGAGCGCGAAACCCAAGAAGACATTTGAGGGCGGACGCGTTGGGGACGCGCGAATCGGCTACGCACCCCCGCAGTTTAGCACGCGAGTCAGCATGATCGTCGTCTCTCAGCCGCGGCATCTCAACTCCACTACCAAGTAGTCCAATACCTAAGTATGCTTCTCACTCCAACGGAAATGTCTTGTAATACCACCAAGCACACACGATGGCGAACCCCAAGCCGCGCGCCGATACGCCTCTTCCCTCCGTAATGCAGCCTCAGAAGAAGGAAACCTTTGGCAACCTCGCCCCATGGAGCGAACCGTCGTGGTACTCCGCCCTCGCCTCCCCCTACTACAACGAGTCGCACAAGAAACTGCGCGATGCGCTTCGCACATACATCGACACAAACATAAAGCCGTACATGCTCGAATGGGAGGAAGCTGGTGAAGCTCCAGCCCAGGAACGGCACAAATGGGCGCAGACTGGTTACGCATTCGCAGACGTGCCAGAACCGTATCGCCCACGCAATGTTCCGGGGCCTGCGGGCATACCGGTCGGCGATTTGGACTTATTCCATCTGTTGATCATGACGGATGAGAATAGTAGGATTGAGGGCGGTGTGGGCGTTGCTCTGGGCGGTGGCAGCGTGATTGGTGCTCCACCGATTGTACATCACGGAACTGAGGAGCAGAAGAAGAAGTGGCTGCCGGGTCTGTTTACGTGGGAGATCAGTTTCTGTCTAGGCATCACTGAGCCGGGTGGTGGTGTACGTATACCTATCCCGCAACATATCCACAATTTGTATTGAGAGGGAAGCTAACTAGAGTGTGTAGTCCGACGTCGCGAACCTCCAGACTACCGCAACCAAAACCGAAGACGGACAACACTATATTGTCAATGGCTACAAGAAATGGATCACTGGTATGCCCTGGGCCACACACATGACGACTGCCGTTCGCACGGGAGGACCTGGTGCCACTGGCATCTCCGTCCTTGTCATTTCCACTGACTCATCCGGACTCACACACCGCCGCATCCCCAACTCAGGGCAAAAGGGTGGAGGCGCAAGCTTCGTGGAGATGGACGATGTCCGCGTCCCTGTATCCAACCTTGTTGGCAAAGAGAACGAAGGCTTTCGAATTGTGATGACCAACTTCAACAAGGTAAATTCTGACTGTGCGAAGTGCATGTGAGACATATACTGATTTCGTACCTCTACTTCTGCAGGAACGCTTCATCATGAGCATAGGCTGCAACAGGAAAGCGCGAACCTGTCTGAGCGAATCTTTCCACTACGCACATAAGCGACACACATTCGGCAAGCCTCTCATCGCCAACCAGATCATTGCGCATAAACTCGCTACAATTGGCCGGTATGTAGAGAGCCACTGGGCATGGCTCGAGCAACTCGCATACCATATCCAGCAATCTCCGCTCGGCTGGCAGGATCCGGAGATTGCGGGCCAGATCGCCTTGTGCAAGGTGCACGGCGGCCGTATACTCGAGATGGCGAACCGAGAGGCGCAGCAGATATTCGGTGGAGCTGGATATCAGAAGGGTGGGCCTGGTGCTATTGTCGAGCAGATTAGTCGGGATCTGAGGATGATGGTATGTTTGATTCCTTGAAATGTGAAGTCCAGGATAGTGTGCTGATGCTAACGTGTGCTAGGTTGTGGGTGGCGGCAGTGAGGAAATCATTGCTGATTTGGCGGTCAGGCAGGAGACGGCGCTTTCGAAGAAGCGGGGATGGAAGTTGTAAGTTGATATGAATGGCGCTATAGTACTGGATTACATCGTGCTGGAGTCCTGAAAATACTACGATGCCATGTTCAATCTACTGGTTTTCTGACGAATGCGTTAATCGGGTCTCGCGGTCAACAGTAAAGGTTGCTCGAACTCACTATGTATCCCCTGTGGATACACATGACAGTGCAGGTGCAATAATCGGGAGCATCTATAAACTGAGGACGTTCTGAATTGTCCAGCCCTGGAGGTGCTTTTGGACGATCGAAGGATCACACGCGCTACGCTGTTAGCCGAAGCGCTAACCCAGTTTCACTCATCGAGGCCTTCCAAGTCGCGTCACCGCGGCCTTCGCGTCTCCCTGCTCCCTACAATTTGTCGTCTCGTTACTCACACCACCACGTCCATGTTACCGTTGGTTGTTACTTGAATCCAAAATATTTAACCCGATAGACAGAGTTGGTTCAGGCCTATCCAGCTTCTCCATACCAACACAACCTATCCCTTCACCACAAATACGTCTGAAGGCGCCTCTACTCCATTCGAAGTTACAGCCCCTTTGAACGTGCGCGTAATCAACCTCTAGCGCAAGAGCTGGGAAGGCGCTGCGAAACAGCCGGCATGTACGGTACGTTTGTGTACACGCCTAAATTTAATCCTCCCGCTCATCGTCCCTCCTAAGCATTTGGAGAGCGAACTAGTGGCCCGAGCGACAGTAGTGGAAGAGAACGTGAAAGAGAAGACTATCAGTCAGATACGCCAGAAAGAGACTCGCAGGCCAATCCACCAAAGCAGCGCATACTCGAGCCGAATCCTGTGGCGGCTTCTGCACCACCAGACATGAACTCGGCAGCCATTTCTTTCGAATCGAAAATTGCCCTGGCCTTGGGTGGTTCGAGTTGGCAGCAACTGCAGGGTGACAGTGCTGTAGAGCCCACCATTGCGGCCGAAGATGGCGTTGACTCCGATTCGGACGGTGGGGATGCCATTCTGGAAATTCCTGAAGAAGAAGTGATCGATCCAGTCGTACTTGAGAAACGCAGGAGAAAAATGGCGCGCTTCACCAGCACTATTGCAAGAGATGCAGGACATGTTGTAGAGACAATCGAAAAGACCGCACTCATCCCGGTACCAGAGCCAGTAACATGGGACGAGGAACCGGAGCTGTTGTGTTGCTACAACTGGCAGGCTGCGGAAGACGGTACCAATACGATATTTGGTGAGTATATCATGACCTCCAGCCAGGTGTTTGCCAGTTGAAATGCCGAGTATTGTCAGACTCACATCTATCTAGTTCCCGGCGAGCCAGCAAAATGGCAACCGCCAAGCCTGCCGCACACTGTCGAAAGGGATAGGGGCTGGGATTCCAACGATTACAACTACGCTCGCCAACCGAAAAATCCGTACCTGCCGATGTTCAATGCCCTCCGGGTTATGTCACCAAACACCACGTTCCACAACGTCGACGTTCTCGCAGATCGCAACAATCTCCGTGTGTTGTTGGAATTTGCTCAGGGCAAGAACAACGCACCTCTCCGCCTCAATCTGTATCTAGTCTTCAACACACTCGTCATCGTGCGCAGGGAGTCACGGTGGTGGAAACGCTCAGACGGGAAGAGTTACGGGTTCAACTTCGAGCGAGCCTTCACCAAGAAAACTGAAGACATGGAGGATGCGACGAGTCACTATCGGGCTATACGATATGCAATGGGCCCTCTCAACGTCGTTTGTCGCTTCGAAGCAGATGCATACGACGACGGCATCATTCCCGACGATCTCACACAGACCGAAGCAGCAGCGGTGAGCGGAAGCTCACACATGAACCCTCCAAGGTTCAATTACAACGCGCCAATTCGGGTCCTGCAAAAAGGCCATATCGTACCAACAGCCCAGATACTAGAGCTCAAAACCCAGGCTTATAGCCCATTGGCATCAGGGTTGGTCGCATGTCAAGATCAGCTCTGGTTCGGTCGCACATCGTTGCTTTACACCGCTCCCTACGAGAAAGGTACCGGTGTTGTATCGAGGATCAAGGAGGAAGTCGCAACTGTAAGGGTGAAGACATGGGAGCAGAACCAGCAGGAACCGTTGAGGAAACTCGCTGCTCTGCTTATACGCCTGAGAGATGTGCTGAAGCGAGAGAATCGGCCGAATCGAGCTTTGATCCTTGTGAGGGAAGAGAAAGGTGGGTCAATCGTATTGCGTACGATGGAAGAACGAAGTTGGGCTGTGGACAGAGAGACACGTGAAACATTCTGGCCGCTCCCTACTCATGGCAATCGAGGAAGGGGTGGTGGTAGGGGTAGGGGTGCTTACAACAGCGGACCTCGTGGCCGTGGGAATTTCGCACCAGTTCAAGGCCGAGGAGACTTTGCCGCTCCGCGCGGACGTGGCTACTTAACACCCGGTCAGGGTCGAGAGCCTGACTTTGCACCTTCGCGAGGACGTGGCCATTTCGTACCTGGTCAGGGTCGAGGAGACTTTGCACCTTCGCGCGGGCGTGGGCAATTCACATCTGGTCAGAGTCGAGGAGGTGACTCTGCGAACTCACGTGGTCGCGGGTATTACGCTCCACCTCAAGGTCGTGACCAGCATCACTATCAGCGAGGTAGCGGGCAGTAGAATCCCAGCTCCTCAAATGTATCGAGAGCAGATATAGTCGTTTGGGATGACCAAGTCCAGTACACGACCATTGGTGGCCCGGCAAACCAAAAACAAGCCAGAAATCAACCAATATCAAAATCTGTACATGAAATCTGCTGGCTTGCAGTCGCGCTAGCAGGTGAACATGTAACCTTTGTTTCACAATAGAGGTAGCAATTATTGCGATATGGTACCTGATATCTCAACAAAGCTAGTTAGATAGAGTTCCAGGGCTCGCGTCCGAACCAAGACGGCGTACACGTAGTTTACCGAGGTCCAGGAACATCTTGACAGGACCACTGGAGTTGAATTCTTGCAGCTTCAGAAGGGCTCTTGCGCAGGAGCTCATCGTGACCGTCTGGACGGCTTCAGTTAATATCGGTCGAGCTTGCTCTGAGCCTACACATAGAGAGGAAGCAGAGACAAGAGAGAGCAGCAGCAGAGGTTGATCAAATCTAGTCTACTACGTAGTACGTTCAAGAGCGAGGCCGCTAAGACGCTTATCGTGTAGACTGCAACTCTATGCAGGTCCAGTCTAGTTCCCAGCCCCCTCAGGCTATCGAGATGTTCTGAACCACGGTGACGTTGGTGGAAATTCAGATCAAGCCGAGATGAATGTGATAGTTTGATCGACATGCTCTTCCCATTGTGCCGCTCGTGTGACGTAGTCTGCTCGATGAACGAGGTGACGTTGGATCTTGGTGAGCTACTGTGATGTCGCCGAATAGTCAAAATTCGGTCGCGATACGATTGAGGCCCGAGTATGATGTAGACGAAGACTTGAGTCATGGGATCTAGTCCGCATGTGGCATCGAAGTTCACCGCTTCCCGTGACCGTGGACAAGGTCAGGATATGAAGACTGAGGTAACGAGATCAGTCAGCAGGTGTAGCGACTGGGCAGTGCAGCGTCCCTGACGTCTATACGGGCGTGTGATAGATCAGCATAAGGCAGCACCACCCTTTGCACACCACGTAGCAATACCCCATCGTCGAAATCTCCGGAAGACCCTGATCTTCAGTTTATCCCACGCTTCATTGCGGGGGAACGGCCCTTCTCTTCAAGCGCACAACCTGGCCAGTTGAGCATCGCGGACGGCAATGGCTTGCAGAAGTGGGCCCGTCTAGACGCGCTGCCCATGCACGATGATCACAGCCTACATACACAGCCCACTTGAGCGCTGCCACGCCGTCGCGAAGCTTCGAATGCGTCGGCAGCCCCGCAAATTTTCCACTTGTGCACGACGAGCTGAGGCATTAGGGCATATGACGACATGGTGTCTTGTGAGACTGGGCTGAGATGCGTCCTAGCCGAGAGCCGCGCTTTAAGTGTCAGATGTTCGCCGCCGACTATTAGACCACGCTACCTGGACACCTACACTCCACCACCACTACCTGCACCTTGACCGCTACAACAAGCAAGCAATATGGGCCGTCGCGATAGAGACAGACATTCCTCACCGGAGCAGCCGCCCCCGCCGCCATCACGTAAGATGTCCAGCATGCATTGAATTGGTACAGCGCTGACAAGGAAGCAGATCCAGGCACGTACCGCTTTGACAGCTACGAGAACGGCAAGCCAAAATGGGCGCCTGGCAAAGACGACAAGAGAGACTACCGCGACTACCGCGACAGCCGAAGAGGCGATCACCGCCGCTCTCGCAAGGAGAGGCCTGTCGACGATGCGCCGCCGCCGCCATATCCCAACAACCCTCCACCGCCCCCGCATGGCGCCTATCCTCCACCGCCTCCACCAGGCCACGAAGGTTATCCTCCGCCGCCTCCCCCACCACCGCCAGGAATGGAGGGCATGCCACCTCCACCACCTGAATCTATGCCACCACCACCCAGAGGTATGCCATCCTGTCAGCGCGCCTCGCAACTCCAGCTAATCAAACAGCAGAAGAACGTGACCCTCGTGGAGCCCGACCACGTCGCCATCGCAGGCAACCGTCCTACTCGTCCGACTCTGACTCTGAATCTCCACCACCCCAACCTCGACGCAAGCATCGCGAGGAACGCCGCGACGACCGCCCCCGCCGACCCAGGCACGAGGATACCTACGACTCATACGACGAGCACTATCCTCCTCGCAGGCCCAAAGACGATGGGCGCCGTGACCGCGACGGCTACAAGTCCGAAGGCTACAAGTCTGACCGCCGCCGCAAAGACAAGGACCCCTACTACGATGACCGCGACCGCCGTGACAGGCCCCGTGACGATCGCAGACGCCGCGACGACGGCTACGATAACAAATACGACGACATGTTCAACAGCAAGCCGCGTCGCGACTCTCGCTATGACGATGGAGGTCGCGATAGGCGCAGTCGATACGACGACGATGATCGCTACGACGACCGCCGCAGGAGTGGTAG